TCTTGAATAACCCCATGGGACAGGGTTTTTTTTTTTTTTTTCTGTCTTTGCTTTTACCTGACTATATAGCAACCACATCTGGTTTTCTGGTCCTCCTAAAAATTCTGTGACCCAATATTTTTCAATAACCATGCTTGCAAATAAGAAAGCTAAACAAAAAACATACATTCTAGAAAAAAATTCTGAATGGGTTCAATTCAAAAATAAAAACAATAGAAACCCTAGAAGAAAATCTAGCATCAAAGAGAGAGACCACCCTAATACAGAAAAAGTAGAAGCTATAAAAGCAAAGACAGACATTTTGACCAATAAAAATTAGCAGAACACTAGACAATACATTTGGGGGAAATATGTACAAAGCAGAGATTAAAACAAGTCCAAATAGTTTATTTTGATGAGATGCCAAATTAAGATTACAACAGTATTAATCTTTTTCTCTTGTCCACTATCACACTTGTACAAATATTTGCAAATGTTACTAAGTCATTCAGTTAACATAAATATACTCTTGGAAATGTTAACCGAACAAAAGGGTCTTAGTTTGGTACCAATGTCATATCCTCTGACCATCAGCCTTCAAAAGAAGTCTATATTCTGACCAGCTGCCTCATCTCTTAATTTATTACCCTGGTAATAAGTTTATAATTGACATCTGATTCTAAAATGTTTTAAATATACATAATTCACATCACCACTGAGGAGCAGGAATTATTTATTTGGTTGGTAAATTTAAGAATGATATAATATAAGTCAGGCGTAGCTCAGCTTCACCTTTCTTTTATGTGGGAACTCCAAGAGAAATTTCATGTTGTATTCAGTTTTGTTCTTTCTGCAAGTTCTGCCCCTATTAGAAAGTCAATGCCTTGTTCTGTTCCTTTTCCTGGAGTCAGTAAGCTTTCTCTTCCAGGGTAGAAAGAGGAAAATGCAGGGCAGGAAAAGACTACCTCAATTAGCTTGCTGTGCCTCAGGCAGTAAGTTTGCTTACTTCTGGAGCTCTGTATTAGCAAATTCACTAGGCCAACACCTACCAGTCTCCCAATATAAGCTTAATGAAGGTTATGTTTTCGCCACTCTATTTTTTTTCTACTTGGTCAGAAATAAGAAAGAGAGATGTTGTTTATCAGAGGCCCTTTGAGAGATTCCAGTAAGGCTCAGCATAAATATCTATAGTGTTTCTTTGTATCAGCAATAATCAGACAATTTTTTAAATATATAAAACTAAGATGGATCAATTCAAACAAAAAAACAAGATCTTTAAGAATATACTAAAGATCCTCATAAAAATATGAACACAGTTATTTATTCCTACTCATTAATGGAAAGACTTAACATTAAAATTCAATTCCTTCCTAAAATGAACATCTCAATTTCAAAGAAACTCTAATAAAAACACAAAAGGATATTTTGAAGGTTGGCTAATTCTTTTAAAATTTATATGGCAGAATGTTGTTCTAATAACTAAAATACCTTATAAAAATCTCAGAAGAAAAATCGCCTTACATGATATTGAAACATATTATAAAGTCACATTTACTATCAACAGTGGAGTATTAAAAATGGGAAACAGGCCGGGTGTGGTGGCTCACGCCTGTAATCCTAGCTCTCTGGGAGGCCGAGGCAGGCTGATTGCTCCAGGTCAGGAGTTTGAAAACAGCCTGAGCAAGAGCGAGACCCCATCTCTACTATAAATAGAAACAAATTAATTGGCCAACTAATATATAGAGAAAAAATTAGCCGGGCATGGTGGTGCATGCCTGTAGTCCCAGCTACTTGGGAGGCTGAGGCAGAAGGATTGCTTGAACCCAGGAGTTTGAGGTTGCTGTGAGCTAGGCTGACGCCATGGCACTCACTCTAGCCTGGGCAACAAAGCGAGACTCTGTCTCAAAAAAAAAAAAAAAAAAAAAAAAAAGGAAGCAAATGGATCAATAAAACAAGACAATCCAAATTCATATACATGCAAATATAGGAATTTCATATAAGTAACATAGTTTTGCAAATAAGAAAGGGAAAGGTAAACTGATAAGTGGTATTTGGAAAATTGACTTGCCATACAAAAATAAATTAGACCTCTGTCTTGCATTTAAAAAGAAACACTCTGTATAACTACCTGAATGTAAAAAGTATTTTAAAAGTATTAGAAGAAAACACAAAAGGATATGATGTTCCAACAGGGAAGAATTTAAGTCATGAAAAGCACAAAGCATAAAAAGTAAGGGCAGGTGCAGCGGCTGACACCTGTAATCCCAGAACTCTGGAAGGCTGAGGGGGGATGATCACTTGAAGCTAGGAGTTTGAGACCAGCCTGAGCAACACAGCAAGACCCCATCTCTACAAGTTTTTTTTTTTTAATCATCTGATCAGCTGGGAGTGGTGGCGCACACCTGTAGTCCTAGCTACCTGGGAGGCCACAGCAGGAGGATGGCTTGAGCCTAGGAGTTCAAGGCTAGAATGATCTGTGATCATGCCACTATACTCAGTCTGGATAGCAAAGTGTGACACAGTCTCTAGTCTAAACAAAGTAACAGATTTAAACTTGTACATCATTAGACAGTGATATAAGAGGCAGCATACCAAAAAAAAAATTGCAATGGAATAAGAGATTAAGGATTAACATAAAAATAATTGTTATTAAGAACTGACAAATCAAGAAGTAAAGCAATCATCCAATAGCCAAGTGGAAAACCTAAGAATAGATGAATGACCTCCATAGTAATCAGAAATGCTAATTAAAACAACCTTCTACCAGACTGGCAAAAACTAAAGAGCCTGATAATATCAAGTCTCAGTGGGAATATTGAAAATTGGAAATCATGTATGTAACTTTTGATAGGACATAAATAACTGCACTTTGAAAAAGAGTTTGATGGCACTGGGTAAATATTTAAATGTGTATGCCATATTACACAGTAGTTCTACTTCTAATTTACAGAAAATCAAAAATACAAGGGGAGTATAAAAATATTTTGCACCATTGCTACTAATATCAAGAAATTGAAACTGCCTCTACGTCAATGTGGTGAATAAACATGAAATGTAGCATAGGGATATAACTGGATACAGTAGCTACATGTAATGAACAAGAGCTTTATCATCTCAAACAATACAGAGCCAAAAAAGTTGCAGAATGAAGCACATAGAAACTACTTATGTAAAATTTAAAATATACACAAGACTATATACTGTTATGAATGTGTGTATACCTGTGTCTGTGTAAGAATACATGGTACTTTAAAAGCATACACATATTGGACGTATGAACATGGATGATTTGCACAAATAGGAGAAAAAGCCTAGGGATAAGGAATAAAATTGACCAAAAAAACATTTTTTGGGGGAGGAGTATAATAAAGCATGGTCCCTGGACCAATTACATTATACCACATTGGGAATACAATGGATCAGATCAATCCAGTTCTATTGCCTAACGTTCCACATACATTCACCACCACCCTTAGGACAGACAAAAGGGGCCCCTGCTGTAGGCTCTGTATAGCGCATTCTCTTTCTCTCAACCTCTCTTAAAGAGCACACAGCTATTTCTATTCACTCAGAATTCAGTCCTAAACACTAGCTCAGCAAGTCCTATAACCAAGAACATATTCACTCTCCTAACTTACACCCTTCAGGACCCAGAGAAACACTTCCTTTGCCTGTGTCTTTTAAAGAAAGGGACTGCAATTAATTACACTATTCTGTTTATTTTGTATATGTCAGACATCTTCCATAATGAAAGTTTAAAAGAGTCAGGGAGAGAGTGCAAAGAAATAACTGAACGCAGAGAAGGCTGTAGGTCATGCTAAAGCTAGTATTTTAGTCTGCTTCAGAACTTAACGTTGCATTTGAGCAACGCAAAGTGCTTAAGTAAGAGAGAGAAAAAAACACATTAACTGACAAATCCTTTCTCTGGCAGAACAAAAATGTAGTTGATTTTTGCATAACCAAGTATTACTTCCTAACAGTGCCAAATGTCCATTTTCTTGCTTCCCTTTGTATTCCAATTTGTGACTCTGGAAATACTAGCAAATTAGTGCATGGTATTTGCAACAGTTGCACATGGTGGCTCAGGAAAATTTTGCAATTCACTATTGTTTAATATATATATATATATGTGTATGTATGTATGTATATGTATAGACCTAAACGTAAACTATATGAGCATACTGCGGACGCTACAATCGCAGTTAGATGGCAAGCAAACACCAGAATGGTGAAGTGGTTTAATTCTCCTTTTTTACCTTAGGGGGTGGGCGGAGGAGGGAGAGAGATGGGGGAGGGGGAGAGATGGGGGAGGGGGAGAAGGGAGGGGGAGGGGCCACTCCTAGGCTCTGGCCTTCCCCAAGTGGAACCAAGGCCGGCCAGGTGAGGCCCCTACATCTCCTTCGTCCTTAACACTGTTGCCAAAGCCAACCAACAACCACAGGGGTGAGCCCTGCAGAACAAAGTTGCGCGACACCCGATGCGACTGTCCCCACCCTCAGCAGGAAACACAGGCACCCGGGCAGGGGTCCCGGGGCCTCCCCAGGCCTCTCCCCGCCACGCGGCCCGGCTCCCTCCGCCCGCATCGCCCCGGCCCCGCGCCGCGCCGGACCCCGCGACCCCCACACAGGCGGACCCTCCCCCGCACCCCCTCCCGGCTTTCCAACGGCCGCCGCGCGTCGCACCCTGTCCGCTCTGAGACCCGCAGCGGCTCAGCTGAGCCTCCGACACACGCGGGGCGGCGCGGGCCGCCCTTCCCAGCCCCGCGCAGGTGCTGAGGGAAGGCCTCGCGCCGCGCCCCGCCGGAACCCTCCCCGGGCCGGCGCCCACGCCCGCCCGCGAACTCCGCACGGCCCGCCCGGGCGGCTCCCGCTCGGCCCAAGGGCCGCGGAACCGCCGCCTGCACCTCCCGGCCGTTTCCACAACGGTTCCACCTGAACCTTTGGAGGCCGCCCGCCCCGCAGAAGCCGACCCTCCCTCCGCGCCCTGCCCTCAGGGAGGCACACCCGGGCGCCCGGCCCAACCTGCTGGCTGCAGAAGGATTCCTGTGTCGAGTCCTCAAGAGCCTCCGCAGCTGCCGCTGGCCGCCGCGTCTCCTCACCTCAGGGACAGCCGCGGCACCTCGGGAGGCCAACGGAAGGCGGGAATCGCCTGTCCAATCGGCGCTGCGTCTAGTCGGTGGTGCGTCCAATCAGCGTCAGCGCCAGCCAGGCCCCGCCCCTTGTGCCCAACAAGGTGCCGCTGTCGCCCGAGGCCTGAGGCAGGGAGGCCCCGCCCGCGGCTCCCAGGGCACGGGCCGGCCGCGCACGCCCCCGCCGCGCTCGTGGGTGAAGGCGCCGGCAGAATCTCCCCCAGGCCCCGCTTCCCTGGCCTGAGGCTCCCCTGGGACGGGCGCGCCGGAAGGGACGGAAGGGGCGCGGGCGGGCCGGGGTCTCCACACAGCGTCGCGGCCTGGCTGTCCCTGGGGCGGCGCCTGCGGGGCGGGGAAGCGTCAGCGTCGCGCTCGTGGGCGCTCTCGCGCGTTTCCACAGAAGCATCTGCGTCTGTCCAAGCCAGGGCCGCGGGCAGGCCGGGGCTGCCCTTCTTACCGGCTCCCTAATTACTCAATCCTGGGCCGGCCCGGCCGGGAATCGCCATCCCCTGTTGCCTGTTCAGCGGCAATCACGAGCTTTTTCCCTTTTAAAACTTATTATTACAAGTAATATACTGCAGTAAACGACTTTTGGGTTATCCAACATTTGTTTGGGTAAATTTCTGAACGTGGAATTGCTGTAGCGAAGGGCATGTAGAGTTAAAGTTTTTACAGATGTCGCCAGATCAAAATTTAAAATAGGTTAGTATCAACCGCACTTCCTAAAAGCCACCACCTGTTTGAAAATACTGGGTTATAATGTAAATGTGCCACAGTGGAAAGCAACTGGGAAAATAAACACGAGCACCAGGGCAGCAGATGAAGCCACGTACAATAACACGAACTCTCCAAAGTGTGTTTAATATTCTGCTTAGCCAGCATTACAGAATTCTTGACAACTTTGTACCTTCCTCATTGAACTTAATTTTGAGTTCTTAATCGCCTAATTCAGAGCTTACAAATGACATGTGCAACCTAATGTACAGGGATTTGGGAGAATTTTATATACTCAGAAGTTTTCATTGTTTTTGAATTTGCTTTTGAATTATTCACACATTTAAGTGTTAACAATGTATAAAACAAAATGTAAGAAGACCGTAGAGTGTGTCAACTTCGTGGCCTGACAGTTTTGCATAACTATTTTCACATGTAGTTTTCCTCTAATAGATTTAAGGTCCTCATGATGGAGTTGTGAGTGCACAGAAGTTTTACTGATAAACTTCAAAAATTAACAGTAGTGATTTTTCACCTTGCCACTTTTTACTAGAGAGAAAGCTGTTAGAGCCCTTTTTATTGTTTCCTGTGTTCAGAAAGCCTAGGAATTGTTTAGTAAACATCAGAAAACTACAACATGGAAGAAGAAAGTATATTACTCACTTTAATCTTATTCAAATTGTCTTTTAAGGGCTTTACATTGTAGTGATTGATGAAAAACCTTATCAATCACAATCAAAATTTGGCTTTCAATTAAATTTAGCAATCACTTACTGGGAACATTGTATTAATATATGCTATGTCACAGGCAGAGAGATCATGGACTTTGGTATATGTTTGAATGCTCAATTTGTATAGTAATACCAGCTGTGAGACTTTAGGTGAATTACAATCATGTGTCCCTTCATGACAGGGGATACATTCTGAGAAATGTGCTGTCAGGCGATGTCATCACTGCGAACATCACAGAGTACACTTACACAAACCTAGATTGTGTAGCCTACTATACACCTGGGCTGTATAGTATGGCCTATTGCTCCTAGTCTACAAACCTGTACAGCAGGTTACTGTACTTAATACAGTAGGCAATTATAACACAATGGCAAGCAACCGTGTATCTAAACATACAAAAGTTCCAACAAAAATATGGTATAACTTTATGGGACCACCAATGTATAGTCCATTATTGACCGAAATGTCATTGCATGGCCCATGACTGTACTTAAACCTGAGTTTTATTTTCTTCAGCTAAGAAAACGGAGATATTGCCTACCAGGTGGCATTATTTTCAGAATTAAATGAAATCCAATGCATAAAGCACCTAGCACTGTGGCCAAATAAGGGAGGATACAATAAGTGTTCGTTTCCTTGCCCCTATGTTCAAGGTGGGGGTCACAATCCAAGGGGGAAGGCAGACACCCACTAATGACTCTATAAACAAGCGCTGTAAGAGAGGTACAGTAATTATCACATCACCTGTGTTCCCCTATAGCTTTTATCACATGTAATGCTGACCTGGCATATAGGATTGTTCTTTCCATTTCTCAAAGACATACACAACTCTACTACTGAAGCTGAGGCCCAATTGTAAAATTTATTTTTCTTGCCAAGGCCCTGTATTTATGTTTTTAGAAGGGATAAAACTTACATATGAATTGATTTGAATAATCAAGAAGTTGCTAAAGCTTTGTCTTCTGTAATTAGACCACAAGAAAAAAACAACATAGTCCAGCTTAATAGAAGAGCCCACATTTTTCCACATATATTTTAATACTTAGGCTTGCATAAAATAATTTTAAATGACGTTAAGATATGTTTGAGGAACAACCCAGCAATTGCACAATCCAGTATAAAATTTTCACATCCAAGTAATATAACTGTGTTTTAGGTTCTGAAAATTCTCAAGCTGTTCTCCAGCTTCTTTATCAACTAGGCAAGTATATTTAAGCTTTTGAATTTCAAAATGTTGACATTTTTAAAAAGGCACCTTGAAGTTCTCTTAATATTGAAGATATAACATTTATTTCATAACTTTATATTTCATGACCTTTTTGGCAAGTCACTTTCACATAGATTATAAGATTCTCTACATGCCTTTAAACAACAATACATTTAGCAGCTCTAACTCATACCTGAATATTCTGGACACTGTCATGAACTCTGGGCGGGGCCAAATGCCTAGCAGCCAAGGCCGGCACAGGCTTGCTGACCTATTTGGACAGTTTGTTGAACAGCAGGCAATGCAACCAGGCTTCTCTCTCTCCTGCATGTCAATGCAGTGCACAGTGCTAATAGCCAGAGCTTGTGCAATTTAATAACAACATTTTAAATCAAAATTCAGTGTTCTTCGATCAAAAGAAACCCACCCTGTTCTTGGAATTTTAAAAACACAGAGGTTGCAATTACCAATAACAAATGGGTTAAAAGGCCAAAATGCATCCTTATAAATATTGATTTGACAAATGTCAACAAGAATTGAAAAATTTAGAGTTAATTCAGTGGTGGCAGATGTCACAAAATTGATCACATTAGTTTCAAGTGTAGCATAAAGAAACCACAAATTGGAGATCTTGTCCATTTTGGCAGCGTTTTTCACACCTCACTTCTAGCACCTGTTGTCAAAGAGACCAGGGCTCAGCACCAAAAGATCTCATCAGGTCCTCAATGGGAGTTTTAAGTAACCACAGCACTCTGCAGAGGACGGTGGTCCCAACTAACTGGAGGTTTAAAAACCACAATAAAAGCATTTAATATTTTAAAATTGGGCAGCAAATCCAGAAATATATTAGAAACTCTCCTATCTGAAGGCACAAAGAATAAAGTTGGCAGGTAGCTGATAAAAACATGACATATAAATGCAATTTAAAATAATTTAAAAGTATAAATATTTGTGAATTGTTTTTCCTCCAGTGCTCTGGCTATTGCTGAAAACACCTTCTAGTTCCACTTGGTAACTGGACTCCGAAGAAATGAATTTTCTGAATTCTTAGGAAGAAATAAAAAAAAAGTCACCTTAATCATCAAAAAGGTAATTGCAAAGGGCACTGTTGCCTGAAATCCTATAGTCACCTGAAAATTGAAATAACTTAAGGCAGGATTTCTTTAAATGTTTAGGTAGTTTCAAACCTAAACAGAATGGCCTGATAATATGTAGACAGCTAATTATCAAACATGTACAAGAGAAATACATGGACTCAGAAGAGTGACTCTCCTGGGCAGAGAAAGAATTGTTTTGTTAGTTTAAAGGTCCGAAGCTTTTCCTCTCCTCAGCCGTTGGTGCAGGAGGCACACAGCCTAACCAGGGCAGCCTCAATGCCCAGGAATGGTTGTGTGATGACTGATGAGACATAAATTTCTTGCCTATTAATAGTTTCCAGTGTTAGAAGGCTACAGGCATTGGCAAGCAAACGTGGTCTCAGGTTTTCCTTGTCCTGGGGCGGGAGTGCCAGGAGGGGCCACGGTGGGGGGTCACAGGGCACGTTCTGTTTACAAGGAGCACAAACACACACAGAACTGACCTTTTTGTAAGCTTATTAAGTCTAGAATGTTCCTGTGGCAGCATCCACTATGGGGGAAAGGTCCCGACGGCACAATAATAAATAACAGCTACGTTTAGAAAAGCACATTCAAGACACATGCAAAAGGCCTTCCTAGCAGACTCAGGCCTTTTAAAAACAGAACCCTGCCTGGGCCCTCCTCGGAGGGGCCAACACTCCCATGCACCTACCCACCCGCCGCCCTCCTGCAACACATTACACAAATTCAACTTGGCCTTCTGGCCACCCAAAGGCCACCTTCTAGACCAAGTGACACAGGCGTTTCAAGTATAAGACAAGATGGGCCACTGCAGTGAGACCTAGCAGCAGGAATCAAGTCAGACGACTTGGGGGGCAGCGGGGGCGGGGAGAACAACCCCCCAGATGTGAGAGCCCAGCACAGAAATGACAGCAGGTGTGGCTTAGATGCAGAGGCTCCAGGTTCCTGGACCCCCGCGCAGCTCAGATGAAGTGGATCCAGCTCTCTTCGCACTCTCCGCGTGGCATGTGCAGTGCGTGGCTGCGACACGTGAGGCTGTAGTCGCGGCTGTCGTTGTTGTCCCAGTACTCGGCACCAGCCACTCGGTAGCGCAGCGCGAAGTGCACGCGCGAGCCGAGCTCCAGCAAGAAGGGCGGCACCGGGAAGCCGAAGGCAAAGACGTCCTCTGTGCCTGCGGCACCCGCGGGCCCGCGCCAACGTGCCACCGCTTCGTGGGCGCTCCGCCAGCCAGAGAAGGTGTAACGCACGGCCACCTGCTTCTCGAAGGCCACGTTGCTCACGCGCACGGTCCCGCTGATGCCCAGGTCCGAGCAAGTGACACGCTCCAGGCACACAAGCTGCCGCCGCAGGCGCTCCTCAAAGTCCGCGGCCTCGATGGGCGGCGGGAAATCGGGCACCAGGCACTGCAGGGTGAACTCCAGGTCCTGGCTGCTGCAGCACAGGTCCGAGTTGATGGCGAGCCGCGACAGCACGTGGAGCGGCACGGACGGATCGTCTCCTGCGTTGAACACCTTGACCTGCGCTAGCTCCAGGCCCAGCGCGTCGGCGAAGCGCACGCGGTGCTGCCGACTGCAGCCGGGGCGACACGCAGCGCCCGGCGCGCCCGCGCCCTTCTGGCGGCGCTCGGGGGAGCAGGGCAGCGAGCGCGCCCGCCGCAGGATGATGGGTCGCAGGAGGGGGTCGCAGCCCAAGGGCGCCCGCACCGGCTGCGGCGCACAGCCCGGGCTCCCGGGGGGCCGACAGGCCCGAGGCTGCAGGGCCCCGCCGCCGTCCAGGTCCGAGAGACAGCTGCAGCTCCGGGGGGCCGGCTTCCGGAACCCCCGGACGGGCGGGATCGCGGAGCCTGGGCCCCTAGACATAGCCCGGCAGCCGTCGGAAGACGGGGAGACAGAACCGATGGGCGGCCTCCGACCTGTCCTGGCCGCGCTCAGAAGCCGCTGAGTCCCCGCGGCGAGTGCGACCTGCTGGGCACTCCGCGGGCCCGCCGCGCTCGGCCCTCGCCCGCCACCCGGCCCCTCGAGTCCTGGCCTAGGCCGTCTGGTTCTTGCAGCCGAAAAGGAGCTTGCTTCTAAAGGGGCGCGCTCTTTCTCGCGCGGAAGCTGCAGAGGCCGTCCGCGGAGCGCAGGGCGACGCCTCTTTTTGCTTTTCCTTCCTCGGAGGCTCTTACCAGAAGGCCGCGTTCCGGGCGGCCCCTCCCACCTTCCCCGTCGGCCGCGCAACTTGCAGGGCTGCTGCCGCACCGGGCGCCACTTCCCGGAGCGCCTCGCCCCGCCCTGTGACGCCGCCCGCGGCCGAGCGCAGCGGAGCCCCGCGCGCCGCCCCCGCCCCTGCCGCAGCGCGCCGCAGCCCGGCTCCCGGCGCCCCGTCACGTGTCCGCCGCGGCCGCGGAACGGGTCCGGTCAGTTTCTGGCTGCATCTGCGTGGACGCTGCGCCCCTCGGCCTAGGTAGTGTCTGCGCAGTGCAGGACAAGGAGGGTGCATGCTGCGTGTCCTTGGCTTGGTGGCTAACGCGGGGAGACAGACGAGCCCGGCCTCGCCGGGGCCGGTCCCCGGTGATTGTCAGGGTGCAAGCGGGCCACCTCTTGGACACCTGCGCCGCACCGGGGGACTCGGCCGGGCGGGGGGCCTCGCTGCGCGGGGAGGGGTCTCGCCCGCGCGGCGCCCACGGGGCTGGCCGCCACAGGCCGCGGGTTCCCGGGAGGGTGGGGGCCGCGGCCTCGGCCAGTCGGCGCGGTGCCCAGAGGAAGGAGAGCAGCAGGAGTTAATGCCCCGGGATGGACCTTGCAGCTGCCCTAATCAGCCTCTGGCGCTTGGGGAGCATTTTTCCAGACTGAGTCTCTGATTTGTAGCTTTGCTTCCCCGCCGGCGGGAACCAGGGAGCCTGGGAGCTTGTTCTGTGCATCCTCAGGGCCCTGCGTGCGTGCGGGCTTTCGTTTCTCTCACCCGGTAACTCTGCACAGGCCTCTGCGGTAAGGCTCTCAGGTGTCAGTGACGTGTAGAGGTGCAGGCGCGTTTTCTAGAGCACATTTTGGGGCCGGGCATTCCATGGAAGTTTTCTTTCTGCTGTCCAGAAGGTCAAAGCCAGAAGAAAACCAGACTAATGAAAGAACGTTACTCTGGTAAAGAACATTTTCCACATCTAAAGTGAGTCAAGCCTGTTCATTATGGTATAATTCATTAATTATGAGCCCCCGTGTGTGATTTTATTGCCTTCGTATATAAACCAACCAAAGGCTTACGTGATCATTGTGGAAAAAATACAAGAAAGTTTCAGAAAGAAAATTAAAATCTTCTATAATGCCACCTCTTCTATTTTACAGAGGCAGGGGAAGTTATAGCAGAAAGTAGTATTCAGTTTCTCATCAGTGCACTTTTAATAGGCCATTCTAAATAAGAGGGATAATAGTGATGTGTGGTATGGGTCAGCAACGCTTCACAAACATTATATAGTATGTAACATGTGTTCATAATATGTATTCACAAACATTCTATAACATGTAATATGTGTTCACATATGGAAACCCTTTCTTCCCCCTGCAGTTTCAGATACATGAAGACAGGCACACGGGCATAACCCCTGCCATTTCCTAGGTACTTTTGTAATTATTTGTTGGTTGAACATGGGAGCTTTGGAATAACACTTGACCTTATTTGGCTCCTTCCAAATGTCTTCAACATATTTGCAAGGAGATTATACATGTATGTTGTATAGGGAGAGAGAGAGGTAGAATCCATTCCCAGTATTTATAGTAGTATGAGCCTGTTGTCTAATATCTGCTGTGGTAAACAAATAAGCAGAAAAGACCAAACTGTAAATGTAAGACAGTATCTCCCTCCCCCAATGTTTCGCAACTCAGAGTGCAAACTACTCTATGACCATAGCCCCAGTATTTCAATGCTGTGCAAATAGTATTGTGTTAGTTTTCACTTAAAAAAAAAACAAAATGGTGGTAGGAACCTTTGCAATCAATACTGACAGCACTGTGTTGCTTCTAGTTCCGGTGGCAAAGAGTCCTTTCCAAATATAAGAGGAATAAAGAAGTCACCTCCCCAGCTGACACCATCTTCCAACAGATTGAGCAAGAGCGTTTTGAGCACTACAGAAAAGGTGATGTAAACTTAGAAGAAAAACCTTAGATTTGTTCTGGTTTTGTTTGTTTAGTGAGTGTGTGTGTGTTCACAGTATTTATTACCACATGCCTGTTTTTTAGACAGTTCATCAAACCCTAGATGATGATCAGCCTTGTGATTTTTTCAAGAAAAGGAGTAGGGTGAATGAATCTCATCAGAAAAGCAGGTAAATAGTTTTAGTATAATTTGTTTTATCTTACAAAAGGCACATTGTCTCAGTTCTCTAGACTGAATGTGTGGACTTAAAAAAAGTGTAGCTAAGAAATATACATTTATATTTTTTATCTAGCAGAAATGAATGTAAAAGTGGTTTCAAGCATTATTAGTTGGTAAGGACTCCAAAGTTCATAATTCTGGCAGTGTTAGCAGAATCGATAATTTTGGGCAAGTCGCTAAATTATCTTTCTGTGTTAGTTTCCTGTGATATAAGAGGATGCTGATAATAAACTCTATGGATACACACTGATAGCTAGGAGAAAACAAAGTTCCAGCAGCATTAGTTATGAATCCTGAATAATGGCCATTCCTTCATTTTTCATTCATTCATTCAACACTTGTCAAGCACATGTTGTACTTGCAGCAATGATACAACATTCTTCATATTTATTAAGAGGTAAAATTGCTTAGTTTGGGCAAAATGAACCTCTAAGTTTCCCAGAAAGCATGTTTACCACCCATTTCTGCTCATTCTGTCTGACTTATATTACAGAGATGTAGTATTAATATTAATCAAATGCTATGTTCTTGATAAATAAATTGAAAAGAAGGTATTTTCAACTCTGATGTGAGATTCTGCCTCAGAATAAATTACCCCGGAAAGAATCAGTTGCTATAGTGGTAATGCACTTATTTCCTTATTTCCCTTTCCCTGCCACTCACAGGATATCTTTAACTCTGTGTTTTCATCATACGATTTTATGTCTGTCCTTTTAGCACAATTTTCCCAAGTGTGTTTCCTGTTTGAAAATATTTCAATAAACTTGGTTATATGTGCTGCACTTTTACATACTAAGATTTTTCTTGGCTCAGAATCACCACTAAAATGAGTGATTAAACTCTGTAAAACTTGCATTTTATATCATATTTATATCTAATTTAAAATAGGCATATGAATGAAAGCTGAGGATTTGACTTCTAAATGTTGTTAAATACTGTTGATCATTAGCAGAACAGACCAAGAGTTCTACGATAGATTTTTTTCTAAACTTTTTCAAAGTACACCCAATTGGCCTAAAACTATAAAACAAGCACTCTGATAAATGCTAATTTTTTTAAAATGCTAATGTTTGATATAAAATGAAATCCATACATTCACATGTATTATTATATAATGTTTCTTAAGTAGAGTATTATATGGAAAAATGTTCTGTAAAACTACTTCTTCAGTAAGGACTTTGGAGGCCTTAAGTTTTCTAATGCCTAGAAACAGCTGAACAAAAAAAGCATGAATAGTGGATTCTTTTCATTTGTTTAATTATAGCCAGACCATGTTTTTGTCATAGGTAGTGAGAATTGCAGTTTTATTTTTCACAGCAGTATGAATGCTGGCCCATCGTGGAATAGAGTGCAGCACCCAGAAAGTTCTGCAGGAAAAAGACAGAGTCATCCCGAAGGACGCCGTGTTTCTTCCCGGCTGAGAAGCAGCCTTGTGGGTGTCTCCCAGCTAGCTGAGGATAAGCTTAAAGAAAGCGTTTCCCCAGAAGGAAAACCCGAGAGGAGTCCACTTGGACCCGGGTGTCAGGGGGCTTCGGGGAACAGATTGTTTCTTGACTTTCAGTCAATGAAGATTATTAAAGAAGATGCTGATGAAGACAGCGCCAGTGATCTCTCCGACTCGGAGAGAGTTCCCATCCCCCCTTCTCCCCTCACACCTCCAGATCTGAATCTTCGAGCTGAAGAAATTGATCCTGTGCACTTCGATCTTCACCCAGGCCAGGGCCATGCCAGACCTGGATACTGCTATCCTGATTTCCTGCCACCCCCTTTTAGCTCCTGGGACCTACGGGACATGGCCCTGCTTCTGAACGCGGAGTGTAAAACCGAAGCCATGCCACGAGCCGGAGGACTTCTCGGGAAGTATATCGACAGACTTATTCAGCTCGAGTGGCTGCAGATCCAGACCATACAGTGTGAAAAAGGGAAGGGGGCCAAAGCAAGGCCCCCCACTGCCCCAGCGACCTCAGGGGCTCTGAAGAGCCCTGGGAGGGGTAAGCTGATTGCTAGCGCTCTGTCCAAGCCACTACCTCACCAGGAAGGGGCTTCAAAGTCAGGCCCTTCACGAAAGAAAGATGTTCACCATCAAGTCCGTCCATCATACTACGTGTTTGAGGCTTCCCCCAAGCCCGGTGATATGCTGGGTAGCAGCAGGTTATGTTGTCAGAAGCAAACCCTTGAAATGAGGACAGAAGAGAAGAAAAAAAAATCAAGTAAGAGTACAAAGCTGCCGCGTTGGGATTTGTCCTGCAGCGACAGCTCAAAGGTGGAAGCCAATGGTAACATTCGACTTCCCAGACAGTCAGCCGTGATTCTGGACTCGGCCGACGCCTGCAAGCCCACCAGAACACAAGCACATGCAAATCTTAAGAAAAAGGGAAATGCAAATAGCTGTGGTCGTGCCAGTGTATCCAGTGAGAAAAAACTCAAAACAAATGGAGTAAAGCCAGCCAGTGTATCCGGTGAGAAAAAACTCAAAACAAATTCAGTGAAGCCAGCCAGTGTATCCAGTGAGAAAAAACTCAAAACAAATGGAGTAAAGCAAAACACGTACAAATTAAAATGATACCTGGAATGATAAATTGCAAAGACCTGCAGATACATAGACAGTGGAGCTCTTCCAGAAGTTATGATACTGTGAATTTTAAGAAATTTTATGACTACTGATATTTAAGTTGTTGATTAGCTCCTTGTCTACCCCCGTTTCCACCCCAAGTAGGTTATTTTCAAAGAGAGATGTATTTCAATAAGTCTTTGTTTGTGTTAACAGTCTTAAGCAGCTGAGAGCCCTTTAGATAAAAAATAACCAAAGCATGTGCCCTCTAAAGGAATAAAATAGCAACTCTCCAGGGGAAGTGACTTGCCTATGCAGAATAGATAGTGACGTTCAGCTCCCCATTTCATTTGCACATAACTGCATGAAATATTGCATACTGTTTTATTATTATTATTATTTTATTTTTTGAGACAGAGTCCTGCTTTTGCCACCCAGGCTAGAGTGCAGTGGCATCATCATAGCTCACTGCAACCTGAAACTATGGGGCTTAAGCAATCCTCCTGCCTCAGCCTCCAGAGTAGCTGGGACTATAGGCGGGTGCCACCACGCCCAGCTAATTTTTCTATTTTTAGTAGAGATTGGATCTTCCTTTTGCTCGGCCTGGTCTTGAATTACTGAGCTCAAGTGATCCTTCAGCTTCAGCCTCCCAGAGTGCTAGGATTACAGGTATGAGCCACCGTGCCCTGCCCCATACTGTTTTAAATGGTATAGAAGCCTAAACGTTTAAAATAAGGCCCTTCTCACCACTGCCTCCACTGCTTTTTCAGAAACGATTCAAGCAGAATTTCTGTTCATTTTACCCTTAGGAGAAGCTTCAGTTCCAGCTCAAGTTAGAGAGTGTGTGAGTTTCTATTTTGAGCAGCCATTTATCACTGAGCTGCTTGCTCTTTAGAGACAATGGAATCTAGTACTTTAATACATTTTCTCTGACATGAGTTTTTTCACAACGGGGACTTTAAGTTTAGAGGTGGTGGTGAGGTCCATTTTTAGTTTCTCCAAACTGAGGTTGAGATAATTTGCAGACTTTCCCATTTGGAAAGGCGATGGGTTTAAGCATGACTGTTGCTGTTCAGTGGTGGCGCTAAGAATAAAGTATTTGACACCCTGGAGTTGCTGGCATGTCAGGGGTGCCAGAGGAAAATCACCTTTTGGAATTTGTAAATTGAAGGGCCTATTACAGGATTGAAACGCATGGAACCAATTTGAATGTAATAATTACTAAGTTACTGATTTGAGACCTAGATCCTTTTGTCCTTAGTCAAAAATAATAACATGTTTTAGTTTGCACGAGCAAGGTTTTCCAATCTTGCCTGGGGATCGGGGTGGTAGAGGACACATTTAAAGATGGAGGGGAAGTGGGATGTGAATGAAGCTGCCAAATGTGTTCTGAATGTTCTTATCTGGTCTTACTGCTTCCTGGCTCTGCTAGAGACTTCTTATTTAACTACTGTTTAATGCCATTTACTTGTTCCTGTAATTGTGCTGTGAGCTTTCTTGTTTCCATGTGTGAATATCTGTAAAACCTTTGGTTGACTGTTTCTTGATATGCAGGGTGTTTTAATGACTCCAGTTAATTTTATCCTTTTAAACAATTGTATTTGTTTTTGACATACATTGTTTTTCTGTTGTGTTTTTTTTTCTACCTTTTAGGCAAAGGAAAACTTGGTATTTCTCATTTGAAGATTTGTAATAGCTTGCAAACTTTTCATACAGTCAATGTTATCAGACACAGCATAAAGATCACATGTATTTATAATTAAAATAATGTGCAAAGGTTAAATTTTAAGATATTTTAAAATCTGGTTTTAGTCATAACCAAACAACAACATAAAAAATATAAATATTTTTTATGGTAGCCTTTTTCTTTCAAGACTTTATTTTCAGATTTGTACAGAGAGTCCCTCTTTCATTCTTCATTGTACTTCTAGAGAAAGAAAGCATGCTCTTATGCTAAGACCTTGTATCTTTTTATATGAACAAAAGATGTTCATATAAAAAATTTAATATAGTAAGCATTACTTCCATATAGTAAGCATTACTTCCATAGTCCTCAAATGTACTCTTAACTTTTGTACTCAGTATATATTTTGTATTTGGAAAATATAGCACTAGTCTTAATTTCCGTGTGGTTCCTGGGAGGTGCCTGCTGTGTCCCTTGCCTGCCCTGTTATAAGAGCACAGATTAGTTCATTATCTATGGCTGGCACTTCACTTAGGAGTCTTTCACTGCTGGATTTTTGTGCAGCTCTTTATGAAGTTTCATGGCTAATAAATGTCCATAAGCATGATATTACATGTACATACACGCCTTATGTCAATACTGACGGGTTTATGCTAAGTTGCTGCCTTGCCCTGTAATGTGTCCACGTGAGTGCTCTAGAGACCTTGCGTCGTTAGGGGCAAGAGGTTTCCTCTGCCTCGCCTTGTGTGCGTCTCAGCTGAAGACCATCATGGTTAAGAAACTTGGAGGTAATGCCTCATGCGTTTGTTCCCAGAACTTTTCACTGAAGTTGCTTGCATACTCTGGGAAATAGTCATTAACTTCACGTGTTCCGTTTAAAAAGCTTGAAAAAAGTGACTTTGCTTGTTTACTTTTTTTGCCTCAGGTTGGTTATCAATTTCAACCAGTATTATTGTGATTGGATCAGAGCTCCTAAGGAATAACGTTAAGTTTTTTAACGTTAGGTTCATTACAGAATTAACGTAAGCACAATTTTAATGTTACGGTTTCCGACACACATATCCAACGCATCTTAATGCGCTGAATGCTGCCGATAAGAATATTGCCATTTTCAAGCAGACAACGTTGGAAAGTTGAATCATGAACTCATTCAGTTCATCAAGTCAAAACCATCGCGTGTCCTGCAGTCCAATGACTGGAGTCATTGCATTTCCGAGAAGTGCCTCTCATTTCTGGGCAGTTATTTACATATGCCCTGCATTTAAACCAATTAAAACGGTCCAAGGTAATATATATATATATATATATATATATATATTTGAAAGAAAAAGTATTTTAGGCTTAGAATCATTTAGTGGAAAAAGTTGTAAAAAAGCACAGAAGTGAACTATAAAATTATACCAGAATTTGCTATGATTGTTTAGGTTTTGGCTCTTTCCCAACTCTTTAAATGACTAAACAGGCTGAAGGTTTGTAACCAACATAAATGTGGTAGGATTGGTGACGTGACAAAAACAATAGGGTGGAGGATATCACTGGTCTTGCGGTAGCTAAAGGTTAACAGGAGGATGGTTTTGTAGTGGTTCTCAAGCCTATAGGAATAAGAATTCCTACATTAAAGAAATAAAATATTGTGCATTTCCCCTTTCCTTTATGCTCTTTTGCTTAAGTAGTTACATAAAAATATAAAACTCTTGGTGGTACTGTATTTCAAATTAATTCAGAAGCAGTATTTATTATTAGGTACATGTATAGGATACTATTCAAAATGGCCTGAAGATATTCAACATGTTTGTTATTTGCTGTTAAAATGATTGTATGTTTGGTTCTGTGTGCAATAAGGTAGAATCCATGTAAATTATTGTGAACTTGGATTTCTCTTTCCTCGAGATCAATTAAACAAAGAAATATTGTCTGAATTTTGGGGGCATTGTTTTGTTTGGCTTTTTATGCAGTTCTCCTTCAAAGTTTATTTTCTCTGGTTATTTCAAAGAATTGCTCTGTATGAAATTCTGTCCCAGCTCCTGTTTTAACGTAGGCGACATCCAAAGCCAGGCCACAGTTTAACCTTTCCAGGTGAATCTTGAGAACATTACTGTAAATTTCCTGAGTCCGTGTGCCCTCAATTACCCCCCAAAATGCGTTAAGGAGTGCTTAGGGAGCATAAAATTAAAGTAACGTGACATGATGGACTTGCGTTGTAATGTTCGCAACCGGAAACGAGCACTGTCTATCTCAGGGAAATGACCTGGTTAGGACACACTGGTTCCCAACAGCTCCTGCTGCAGAGTCAGAAAGGCCTTTTGCTTGTCTTCCGAAACTTCCTTCTGACCATGCATACTTTTCAGTCCACCAAATTTGGGTCCAATAGCGTGTAGGGATTTTAAAAATGATTTTTTTTTTTTTGAGTATGGTTTGAAAATTAACCCATGCTGGAGGTTTTAAATTTTTTTTTTTTTTTTTTTGGTACAAGAAATGGTGGATTATTTTTGGATGTTGCTATTTTATTCTCCACCAGGTGGTGACGAAACTCTTTCAGATGGCAGTGGGTTTGTCCGTGAGCACCCTCAAATCAAATAAAAAGGTGTTTACTGGAATCAAAAAGAAATGGGAGAGAAAAGGATTGTTTTTAACTTCTGCCCTCAGAGAATTAAACAGTATATTTTATTAGGTTAAGGTCTGTGGAGGAGTCTCTGATTCATTGAATATTCTCACACTGTAAAACACTGTCATGCTCAAGGAAGCAACGTAAATCATTAGTTTATAAAAGTCTTCATAGAGATCCCTGTTTCCTAAAATACAATTTGAATATGTCTGTCCTTGGCAATTTAGTATTTAAGGGATTAACTGTAATAACACTGGAAAATATATATGGAATGTAAAAATGAGAGTCATGAATATAATTAAAATTGTCCTAGCTTAAGTACTTAAAGCTAGTAATGCATATTTAACATTAGGTTACATTAACTAGCATAATTTTACACCTTGCTACTCAAATTGTGAACCCCTCCTCAGATCTACTGAGTCAGAGTCTGCTTTTTAACAAGATCCTCTGCACATTAAAGTTTGAGAAGCCTGCCTTCCTGGTGCTTAAAAAGTCTGCCCGTTGGAGTCGAGTGTTGGTGTTGAGTTCACTGCTTTGAGGGTGCTTTGATGGCTGGCAGGCAAGCAAGCCTTGGCTCGTCTATGCTGTTTTCATTATAGCCAGCACTTGGCTGGCTGTTTGACTCAAGAATGGATCACAAAAATGAATGATTTATGGCCTCTGATCTGATACTCTGCTCTACCAGTGAGTGCTGAGGGGCTGAGGTCTCTTAGCCCACATACTCACACTCTTCTGTTTTTATTTTTGTTTGTTTATCATTTAGAGGCAGGATGTCACTCTGTTGCCCAGGCCGGAGCACAGTGACATGTTCATAGCTCACTGCAGGCTTGAACTCCTGGGCTCAAGGGATATTCCTGCCTCACTGCAGCCACGCGCCACCACGCTAATTTCTAAGTTGTTTGTAAAGATAGGATCTTGCTACGTCTCCCAGGCTGATCTCAAACTCCTGGCCACAAGGACTCTTCTCACCTCAGCCTCCCCTAGGGTCACAGGCATGAGCCACTGTGAGAACACTCACTCTGCCTTCCCTCATCCTTTCAGCCACTTCTTCACTTTGGCCAGGTTTAGAAGGGTCTTCACTGTCTGCCACCAAGCTTTCCCTCTAAGCCCATGTCTGGTGATAACTGCCTTAATAAAGTGAGAAGAACAAAAAGGAGGGCCTTGCTTTTTCCCCATGGTGTTTTCAGTTCTCTGCATGCTGGGATGAGATGCCTTTTTAGTCACAGAACTTATGTAGTCTTGAAATAGCTTAACAAGTTTAATTGAAGATGTTCCGATCTTTAACACCTATATATTTTTGCCTCAACAGGATGGTTTTAATGTGGGAAGATAAACTGAACAGCCTCTTAAATCTCCCCACTTCCCTTTCTTTCTCCTGCCCTAAACAAGCAGAAACAATTTACGTACATAACTGCCTAGAGAAAGGGCTTGTCGAATTTACTATCAGTATTATTAGTATATACTTGCAAAAGTTAGAATTATTAGAATTATTTAGAAAAGTTAGAATTATTAGAATATACTTGCAAAAGGTGAAAAGGACTTCAATCTATTCTATCTGCAGTATTTGTCTGGTTGTTTCCCTAATTGCTCATCTGCAACTACGTATTGGTTGACAAAATTGGGGCAAGAGAGTAAAATCTCTCAAAGGAAATTTTCTGGCCAGCTCTCGGTGGCTGACTCAGCATACTAAAACATTAGAAACCACAGTTTCTGATCAACCTACGTCGACTACTAAAGCAATCAAAATAGAAAAGAAAAAAATTTCTTAGTCATTGAAAATAAATCAGGAATTACAAAGGATGGATTATATTATTCTAACACGAAGTCTAATGAACCCAAGCTCTTACACACGCTGCAAGGAATCGGTGCAGCCAGGTACACAATATTAGATATCCGGTAAAGCTACACTTGATAGTAACTTGGACTTTTCACTGATGGGGTCGAAGTCACTGTTCTGATTATTTTTCCCCAACATTTTATTATAAAAAGTTTCAAACATACAGAAAAGTTGAAAGAGCTGCAGTGGCCACTTTGAGACTCTGTGGTTACCGTCTCACTCCGCCTGCCCTGTCCGTCCACCCGGCAGTTGGAGTGGCCGCCTCCTCCAGGCGTCTGACATCTCTGGCTTCCACCTGCTCTGGTCGCCCTCCTGCGCCTCCCCTGCAGGCAGCTGTTTTCACATTTGGTGGATGGTCGCTGTGTTTGGCAGGGTTGGGCTCCAGGGAGCCGCTCACCGTCACTGGAAGCAGAACTCTCCCTGATATATATATATATTAAGTTCTTCTCTAGACTGGTGTGAGAAATTAAACTTGTGACTACGAAGAAACGAGATCTTGAATTCGAAATTATGTGACTCGAATGTAAATCTCATGTGAGTGAACACAGGGAGGGAGGCCTTGACTCAGTGGATGTCTGAACATTGGCCATTTTGCTCTTTCCTCGTCTGAGTCCTCAGCCCCGGGGTCCAATCCCTCAGTTACATCTCGGGCACATTGTTACCCTGGCACTTTGGTTAGCAAAGGCAGCCCAGCTTAAAATTTCAGCAGCAACCTTTCCTGAAATCTGGTCTGTCCCCTGCCTCTTGGGCAGGCCGGGCTCCTGGGCTGGCGTGAGCGGTGGGAGGGCCTGGCCTGCCCTCTGCTCCACCTTCCCCCTGCATCCAGGCGGGAGGGCCTGGCCTGCTGTGCCGCTGGGACTCCGCTGCTCCCTCCCTTTCTAGGCTCTGGCTCCTCCAGCGTGGGGCAGGAAGGAGAGACCCAGGGCAGAGTGCCCACGTTTCTTCTGTTCCACTCTCACATCCTTTTCCCTGCGCTGGCTCAGCTCTGAGGAGATGGAGGCCGGCCCAGCCTCTCCGCGTCTTTGGTGCTCAGTTGCTGCATATGGGAAATGCCAGAGTGAGGTGGTGCCCGGCGCTTCTGTTCTGTCACCTTCCCTAGGTCAGTCGTCCACTCAGTCCCCTTCCTCTCAGCTGGGCACAGGGCCTGCCCAGCCAGAGCGTGGCCACGCCAGGTTGGGACGCTGGGTTCTTGCAGCCACCCTCGCTCTTTGCCAGTGATTTCTCAGTGCTCCCGTCTCGTGGGGGGAGAGCACCCCATCCCTCCCCCAGGGAGGGCGGGATCAGCTGTCTCCGAGGGTCGGGCATGCAGAAAGCAGCCGCACCCCTCCGGCATGCCTTACACCAGCGGGCGGAGGTGGGGAGAGGCCAGACGGGGCAGGCGCGACAGGATCGGTTCTGCCATGTTTCCAGAAGTCCTGAGGTGTCTGGTCCAATTGTTGGTGGCTGTCTTTACGATGGGGTGACCCTAATGCTGCTTTAGTCTCAGCTAAGGGCAAGTAACAACCTTCTTCCACGCCGCACGCTTGCCCTTGACAAGGCAGCGAACGGACATGGGCAGGTCGTCTTGGGTAATTAATAAGCCTGAAAGCAAAACTCAGCAAGTACCTGACATTGGCAGGAACTTTTTTGACATAGATAATTCAAGACAAAATTCGTCCTTTCTTAGAAGCACTCATGATGTGTTTGTAATTATAAAAAAAAAATACTGGACACTTGAGGTGGGTTGGGGGCCCCTCAACGCCAGGAGAGAATGTTGACTCTGGGGTGCTCACTGTAGCTCATGCCTCCCTTTTAATCATCAATTGACTCTCATCTCACGAGCAATCACATCTCTTCATTCCTCAGCTTACAGGGAGCTGGGAGCTGCCACCCTGTGGCTGTAAAATACTACTGTACTTCCAAGGACAGAGAGAAGCACTAGACTATTGTCACCGGGACCGCAGACGCTCAGAACACAAGGGCAGCGTCCGCGTCTCCCGCTCAGACTCACCCGCTTCCCGCTGCAGGTGAGGCCCAGCGTCGCCCGCTGAGCTCGAGGAGGATGGTTCATGGGGAACTGGCATTTCGCTCAGTTACTTTAAATGCTCAAGAATGTTGAAAATTTGGTTGTTTCTGTTGTTGTTGCAACCTTCCCAGGGTCACTGCTGGCTGCTCCAGAGGAAGCCAGCACACTGAGACAGCAGGCGTTGCCTCAGGGACAGGGTTTGATATTGCAGGCGCCACGCGAGGAGGAGGAGAGGTGAGTTCTCAAATCCACCTCCCCAAGAATTCCGGAGAAAGGGATTTTAAAGCTAGTTTGGCAGGCAGAGGGCAGGCAGTTGGTTCTGCTGATTGGCTGGGCTCGGGGCGGAGTCACCGGGTGTAGAAATTGTCTTCTTGTGCCAAGTCAGTTCCTGGACAAGTGTCCAAAGACCTGTTGGGTCAGTTCCTTGGTGTGGGCCACTGGTCCGGGTGGGTCAGCGGACACCCAGGCAGACCTGGAAGATGTCTCAAAAACTAGCCTTGGGGCTCACAAGGGTGATGTTATCCAAGGGAGTAATTAAGAAAGTTGAGGATCTGTATGGCCTTCAGGGACTGACTCCTGAGTGGCAATTCTAGGAGAGCAACTAGAGAGTAGAGCAGGCGTCCTCCAACTACGGCCCGAGGGCCACATGCCGCCCGCCTAGGACATTTATCCAGCTGGCCTGGTATTTTTGCCGCAGCTGCCTGTCCTGCTTAGCAGCCAACTCGTCCCGGGCCCACAGTGTGCACTCTCCAATGGTCTGAGGGACAATGAACTGGCCCCCTGTTTAAAAAGTCTGAGGACCCCTGAACTGGAGGATAACGACTGGCATATAAATATTACTATTTTAACTGTGCCTGTACCTTGTGGACCTTTATTAATTTTTATAAAGGTGGTTTCATCATATCGAAATACCAATTTCTTTCCCATAAAACAAACGTGAAGGTGGAACCCTCCCCTGGCATCCCCCAGCCCCTCCCACGCGAGTCCTTTGTGAGTGGGCACCTGGCTTTCTTGCCCACTGTTTAATCCCTAGCACGATTCTAGCATCAGGGCATGCCCAACCTGCATGTTCCCCACAAACATTTAACATGGTTTAGTTCACCGGACTTATGAATTCTGAATTAGTGATTCTAACATAAGTTTTCAATAGGTTACCATTAGAGAACTATCCACTTTGAAAATAAGCACAGAGTACTCCTTTTCTCTTTATGTGCAGACAGTATCTAGAGACCTTAACATTATATTTATTACTCTTTTCAGTAAGCTATTAATTTTCATGAAAATAGTAAACTATGCAAATTAAAATATCCAGCAGCATCTCACAGAGCTCTGAATGTACAGAAAGCTGAGAAAGCTGGCCTTCTATTTCATCTCTTAAAGAACTATTTACTATTTCAACCAAGGTAATATGATAACAAGGTAATACCATGTTTCTCCGAAAATAAGACCTACCTATAAAATAAGCCCTGGCAGGATTTCTAAGCATGTGCGCAATAGAAGCCCTGCCCTGAAAATGAGACCTAGTGACGGGCGTGGCTACGCAGTGCATCTGCACAACCCGTGCATTTCGTCGCAGAGTTGTAAAGAAGATGAGCTGCCCTTCTCATCTGCCTCATCGTGACAGCTGCTATCCCAGAGGTGACCGGAAAGGTGCGGGCAGCTTCTCCCACAAGGTCGGCTCCCCCTGTCCCCGGCCATCCTGTGCGTGCTGCAAGCTGAGGCTTTGAGGGGGAAATAACACATCCCCTGAAAATAAGCCCTAGGGTGTCTTCTTGAGGAAAAATAAATATAAGACCCTGTCTTATTTTCAGGGAAACACGATAGCTTAAGGCAGTCAGGGTTAAATGTAACACATTGTGTTTTAAAACTTGCTCATTGCAACCTTAAGCACTGGTGTACTAGAATCCCATCTTGTGCACTTTTTCAGAATTCTAATGCAGACTCCCAAGGTGCCACCAACACCCTGTCCCCAGGTAGGCACTTTCCCAGCTCTGCTCCCTCCCACTTTAACTCCAAACTCAAAAACACAGATTCATCTAAGCTTACAAGAGGTTTTAGTAGAAATACTCTGTAATACCCGGAGTCCTGAGACACGGTTGGAATAAAGATTTTTAGTATTTTGGAAAGTAAATTTTTTTCTTTTTTTTTTTTCTACATCCTTTCCACCACCCCTAAATAAAGTGATTCTTTCTTACAGTCATTTTCTAGGTTGTTTTTGTTGTTGTTTCGAGAGGATAGGGGTTATAGGAAATAATCATTAAAATACCCTGCTATAGAAAGAGATCATTGGGCGTTCCATCTGGAAACTAAAACCAACAAGGAAATAAAGAATATTTATAACACGCCACTTTCCTGTAAGCGCTGGTTTTACGTTCCTCCCGCTGAGCTGTTCTTCCCCAGGTGGGACCCCAGCCAGCTCTGTGTGTGCGTGCGTGACCATGGCAGCTTATTTCCCACCCCTCCCTTCCTAGGAACTGCACTTGTCACAAGGATGTCCAAGCTCCTAAGCCAGCCTGGCCTGCTCTGATAAGCTCAAGGGTACTGGGGAAGAAGGAGGAGCGAGTAGGATGAAAGAGCCTGGGCTAGAGTGACCTGAGAACACTGGAGGAGCCCCTGGCAGGGGAGAGGCTGGCTGTCTCCGGCTCGGCCATACCCGCACGCTCTGGGCGCATCTGGCAGCACCTGGCGGGCATGAACTGCAAGGGGCACTCGTCGCTGCTGCTGCTGCTGCTTCCTGTGCTGCTGGGGCTGCTGCAGGTGAGCTGGGGGACCAGTGGGGCACAGCTCCTTCCGGGCAAAGGGAGGGAGGGGGACTGCGTGTGGCCCGGCTGAGGCTCACGCAGGACGGGCGGATGTGTAGCTGGGAGCCGGGGCTGGCGTGTAGGCAGTGGGGGCTCCCAACTTACATCAAAGGAGGTTAAGCGTCACACTCCATCTGGGGGAATAGTGGGGACAGACTAAGGGGACTTGTCTCACAACTGGTGTATATAGCAGACACGACTTTTATTTAGATTGCATCAGCCCACACAAGTTTTCTAACGATACTTCTATTAGCACTTTACATAAGGTTGAGAAAATCTCAGTTGTCTACATCAAAGACAATTTGAGCAACCCCATGGGGATGGGAGGGCTATATCCACCCTCCCTGTCCCCCACCAACTCCAGCAATCGCTACTGCTCAAATGGGAACACAAACAGTGGAATCAGGATGAGAAAAATATGGGCTTGCCAAATCCTATAATACATCTTTTCTAACATACTCATCCTGTGGTGTACATCTTCCCTCACTATAAAGAGTAATAAACCCAACAGGTTCAACTCAAGGCATGTTCATGCCCCTGGTCTTTGGCTACAGGGCACTGACACTATGAAAAGCCTTAAAGTATACATAGTAGGTGCCAAAGAGCATGTATGCTATGCTTCCATTAATGCTTTGTAATATTCACAAGTTCAAACATAAACTGACAGCCCCTCCCCCCAAAAATGTGGGCTTGTTCTGTCTGTACCTAAAGTGCACAGAGTTACTGTCGCATTTGCTTCTCAGTTAGGATCTGCTCGATTTGCTTTCTGCAGGCAGGGAGAGAGAATCATTTCTTCCTTTTAATTCCAGCTGGGGGTGGGAGGAGGAAGCACAGTGCTCAGGGGTAAATGCTGTGGGGTCTGGGTTGGGTCACTTAGGAGTCTTCACCCAGGCTCCTCCACGTCCTGCTGGGCACCTGGGCTAACTTGAGTGTGGTCCTCATCTTGGCTCAAGTCGGATTCACCTGGGGAGCTTCAAAGACTCTCAGTGCCAGGTGCTACCCCCAGAGGCTGAGACTGAACTGATCTGGGGCGCAGCATGGGTGTCCTTTTTTATATAACCTTGTTAAACCTCATTTTCTTCACTGAAAATGGAGATAATAATTGAATTTACCTACCCCAGCGGTTGTGAGAATAAATGAGGAAATGCATAAAAGGGCTTGGCATTGTGAAAGTTGTCAGAACCAAAATGGGGTTGCTTATGTTAAAAAACAAAACAAAAGAAAAACCCTGACGAATAGATTCAGGGAAGCTATAAGAGAGGGTTCTCACGTTTATATTCCCGATAACAAAAACTATCACAAAAGACTCTGCAAAAACCACAACCTTGCACAAAGGCCACCAAAATCTTACACAAAGATACTTCTGTGAGGACATCTGCCCAGCCACTGCCTGTCCAGCCTTAACTTGGCATGACCCTTGTTATTGATTTTTGTAGCCAAGGATAATAATTTCAGATGAGATCGGGCGCGTTCAGGGTGATATGCCCATAGACAAATAATTTCTAAACAATTATGTAATCCTAATTTTTTTTTCCTTTGAAAACCTTTGTCTTCCTTTATCTCCCTGAATATACACATAGTTTGCGATGACATGCATATTCCCATGGCAATGTCCTATTCCCAAAAAAACGACTGTCTGTGTTTGTACTCAGCGACTGACGGCTCGGCCCGTGGGCTCTCACGTCTGTGTCTTTCTGTCTCCTGATCAAGGTGAAAGTGGCAGGCTCCGTCCACTCACTCCGAGCTCGCGCCACAGCTATCTGCTGGACGCCTGCTCTGCACCTTAGCCGGAACAGGGGTGCAGCAGGAAACAGAGCAGAAGGGAAAACCTGAGTTGTAACGCACTCACTCTCACGGAACCTCTTTCTGAAAGTCGGTCTCATCTCCTTGGAGTCTGGAGAGTTTTCTTGGCCACATTTTGCCGCGTCAAGAGTCGTGATTGTTCTACTGTTCTCAACACTTTAATTTTATCTCCAATACTTTGTGGGATCCCGTTTATAGCAGCCCATGCTAGGATGGATTTTGAATATTTGCAGATCAAATCCTGTCCTCGTCTTCCCTCCCTGCAGCTAATCTCACCAGGAAAGAGAATGCTGTTCTCCTCCTCTTTCGTATGAATTACTGCAGCGCCCGGCAAGGTCATTGACCTCTGAGGGTGTGCTGTGGGGCAGGCAGTGGAGATTGCACTGTGGCCGAACTCCAGCGTTTGATGGCAGCGTCGTATATATTAATAGATTCCAGGGAAGCGAGACAGATAAAGAAAGCATGATCCAATAGGTGTGAGTTAAAGGTCAGAATCCCAGACCTTTAACTGGGCACAGACCTTTATACCCAGCAGGTGCTCAGCTATTTGCCAAGCTGGCCATAAGCAACTTCTTCCTTCCCTCCACATCGCTTTATGACCATCTCTGACATCCATAAGAAGCACCCTCCTCCCCACCCCGATCTCTACATTTAAAAATTGCCACCTGTTGTGCCAGAGCACTGTAATGTCACCAGCGTTTCCCTCTGAAATCCCCACGTCCTTGCCCTACGACAAAGTCAAGACTCTGTTCTGCAGGTTTGCAGATTCAGTGACAAGGAATGACAAGCCCCAGATGAGGAGTCTGTCTTCTCTTCTGGGTCCTTTCCTGTCCCGAGAGCCCATGAACCCTCAGCTTTGGGCTGTAGCAGCTTCAAAGACCAGAGAGGAGGGAGGTTTTAAGAGAATGAAATTGGACAAGGAGGAAAACCTACTATGTTTCTTTTTTGGTTGTTGTTAGTGGTGGTGTTTTTATCTAGGGAATTCTGAATGGCGTTCTCTCTAAAAAAAAAAATCATTAGCATTTATGCTCTGACCGATTCATTCTTTCACATTCTTTCAGCCCTTCATCCAAGGCCAGCAGAGCTGGTGGGGACAGGGGCAAAGCTGAGAGGGTCCACAGGGGATGGAGCAGGCTGGACTCAGTCCTGAGAGCAGGCGGAACCCAGCGTGGTTTGATGCTACAGCAGAGTGAAGTCTACACGCTTAGAAGGTCGCCAGGCTTCTGTGTAGAGACTGCGTTAGGAAAGTGTGTCAGTGTCCTGGCACTGCCAAAACAAAGTGCCACAAGCAGGGTGGCCTAAAATACGAGCAATGCATTCTCCTACAGTTATAGAGAACAGAGGTGTGAAATCAAAGTGCGGCAGCCCAACTCCTTCGAGGCCTCAGTGGGACCCTTCCTTGCCCCTTCCAGCTGCTGGTGGCCAGAGGTCTTTGGCGTTCCTCAGCTAGCAACCACATCACCACCATCTCTGTCATCACAGTCCTTCTCCCTTGGTGTCTGTGTGTCCCTGCTCTCCTTATAAAGGCACTAGTCAGTGGCCTAGGGCCCACACTAAACCAGAATGACTTCAGCTCAGCTTGTTTGTATCCACAAATATCCTGTTTCCAAATAAGGTCACAGGGACCGGGGATTAGGACTTCCTCATGTGTCGTTAGGGACAGTATTCAACCCACAACAGGAAGATGGGGTTGGACAGTGAGAGAGCAGTCAGGTGGCTTCCCCAGATGGTGAAACTTCAGCTATGGGAGGTGGAAACAGAGAGGAACTGGAAGACTGGAGGGAGCCTTAGGAAGACAAACGGACAGAACTTGGATGTGGGGACCAGAGAGGGGGAGGCGTCAAGGGTGACTCTGGAATGAGCAGGCAGGTGTCTTTCGTTGAGTTGTGGAGCCCTGAGGACGGGGCAGGTTTGTGAGAACACAAGCTGGGTTGTCGGTCTTGGACATGTTGGATTTGGGGTGCTTGTGGGAGATACAAGCAGGAATAGTATGTAGAGACTTGAACAGGAAAGGTGGCAAGCGCTCACTTAGCCCTTACTTTCCCTAAGTACTTAGTGCTGAGTGCTGTGAGTTAAAAAGGATTAATAACAGCACCTTCACGGTTGGACTATTGTAAGGATTAAATACATTCACACATGTGCACTTACTTGTGTGTGTGCACAGATGAGGCCATTCAGACTCAGAGAGGTTAAATTACCTGCCTGGTGTCACACAGCTGGTGAGGGATAGAACAGGATTTGAACTCAGGCTGTCTAAATTTGTACATCCACATGCTAACCATTAGTCCATAGTATCTGCACTAACCTGTGTTGTAGCCACTAGTCACGTGTGGCATTTTCAATTTAAATAATTACAATTAAATAAAATATATAATTCATTTCTACACTGGCACTAGCCACATTTTAGGTGCTCAGTTAGCCACATGTGGCTAGTGGCCAGCACACTGAGGGCACAGGTGAGAACATTGCCATCCTCACAGCATCCCCTGGACTGCCCGGTCCGAGCTCAGAAGGGAAGTATTGGGTGGAGACTTAAAGAAAGTGCACAGGGCTCTCTCGTGGGAAATGCGGATGCTCACGTCTAGGATCCAGATTCTCCGCGAATGAAAGTGTGCATTCAAACATGAAGTGTTTTCAAGCATTTCAAGAAAGAACGGATTCCACACGGATCTCTTCGTTCTGCAGTACCTTACATAGACACAAGGCCTTCCTTTACTCAGCTCTCCCTCAAAAGTGCCGTGGCTACCCAGCCTGGGTGACATAGATTATGTGCCACAAGTCCACTATGCAATCATATGCCTGCCTGGCACCCACTGATAAAGTGTTTGGGCAACACTGCAGCTGGAGGAACCAGCTTCTGGAAAGTTCTCCCCCTCCTCACATTATAGAAAGCATTATGCAAATCTTTTAAATGGCATCCTCTTTGGACAAACTGCCTAAAATTGGCGTGGGTGGTGAATATAAGAAGAACACTTACAAAGTCATTACAGCAGATGTAACAGTTTCTAGTCTCCCTACTTCACCCAGACCAGCCGCCTCACGTTCATTTCTAAGGCAGGGATGAGAGCAGAAATGAGACGCACAGTGAGGTGGGATTTCAGGTGTCCAGGGGTCAGAGTGTGAACATTCACCATTGCAAACCTCTTCTGAACGCTCCGGCTGGCTCTCGCATGACTGCCGTCTGTGCCATCTATGTGCTATCATACTAAAACGAAGGGCCCTTAGAGACGCTTTGTCTCATACCTTCAATTTACAGAAGGGGAAACTGAGGCCCAGAGAAGACATGAATCCTCAATATGCTCCTTGTTAATAACCTCGGCCTCCTGGAAATACATCTGTTTTAGAAACTGAATTCATTTCTTTATTCTTTTGCAAGAACTGCAATTTTCTCTATTTAAAATTATATACCTAGGTAGGCCGTTAATTTAAAACTACCAACATTAATCAAGAAGCATTCATTGTCTGAATAAATCGGTTTGATATTTTAGAACTCAAAGGGTTCAAAAATTCCTTTCCTTCAGGTAAATAGAAATATGGTCTGTGGCAGGAAACAAATATTATCATTATTTTGACATTAACAACACCCAATCATATCACCCACCCACCCACCGTGAGAGCAGCCGAGCACAAGAAATGAACATATGAAGGATGTTTCTTCATGTCCATGAAACCACTTTCTAATACATGGTCCGCCGTGTCGTGACGTGATCTTGAATGAGGATAGATGATTCCGACAGGGGCCAGGCAACCACGGGGGAGGGTGGTCTGGCAGGATCTAGGTAGGCTAATGCACCCACTCTGTCCCACACAGGCAAAAACTCTAGGCATAAATCCTAGAGTTTTCCAAATTCCAGTTAGTGAAAAGAATGGCAGTGTTTTATTTATACATTTAACACATTTCCATAAGTCTTTTAAATGTCCAGCTTAAAAGAAGACAGCTGGATTCTCCCCTCTGCTTCTGCATTCAGTCTGTTGTGATTGTTGCGTGGTAAGGGCGCGTGAAGAAGTGCTGGCCTCGCACAGACATGTGTTTGGAAAGGCAGAAATGCCGTGGACAGGTAACTGTGGACATTCTTTGCTATTACAGGCAGTAGTGTCTTAACAGTTACTTGCAATGTGGAATCCGAAACCATCTTAATGAACTTTCCTTGCTCTCTGACATGAAAATCCACTGGTCTCTCTTGCACGTTAAATGATTCTTTTACCTGGTGTGCTGATGATTAGGAAGCCATCAGCTCATTGAGTTATGCAGATATTCCCAATGTGGACATATTAATATTTCAGTCTACAAAATAAAAACTCACCTCCATTCATACCTCCGCTGACATGAGAAAGATCTTTATTTGTTGGGAAATTGTCAGACTCGTAGTGGTAGACACAACTCTTCTAAAATTCTGATTTTTGCTTGAAAGCTTAAATTTTGTCAGTGGGAACAGATACGGTCCATTTGTTTTTCTTAAAGTGACAGTCTCGCTTTGTTCACTATCAAGGAATGGTGCATCAAATACCCCAGCCTGAATCATCAGTTTGTCAGGGGTGCTTTGAAAGGAAATGGCATTGCATCAAAAACAGTGGCTCGTTCAGCTGGGGACTCGAGCAGGCGCACGGGCGCTTCTCCTCGAGACCAACATCCTGCTTTGACACGCAGCTGTCGTGCCTTCTACGCGTCTCCCGTGCAGTCACACGGAATATTTAAGACATGTACTCTCAAGTGTTGCAATCTAACAAATTAATGGTTTTTACTACTTCATCCGTTTTCAAGGGATGACAAGAATGAAGCAAATTAGCCAACCCTTTCATTCTTCTAGTGTTCTCTCTCTTTTCTGTTTTTCCTGCAAGCGCGTGGTGTGAAGAACACGCCGACCGCCGCCTCCATTTGTGCTGAGGCGTCAGCGACCCCGCCCACGTGTGCCCTGGCCGGTCAGTGCACACGCCGCACCACAGGGAGACGGGAGAGTAATGCCCCCGCGGTACTGTGCAGGATCTGGCCTTGTCGACACTGGCAGGGCTGTGAGGACGCCTGCTTAACCTCACTTTGAAAACCGCTGGTACAGAGAAACTTTCCGTGTGCACATGGATGTTTATGAGCATAGCATTTTTTTTTTTTTTTGGTAATAATGAAAAATTAGAACCAAGCTAAATGACCGTCACTAGGAGTGTGGATAAATATATTGTTGCCTATTTGTCCAGTGAAACTCTATACGGCAGTGAAAATGAATGAACTGGGGCTACAGGTATCAACACACACACCCGAAACAACTAAAGCACAATGTTAAGTAAAAAATAAATTATGGTAAATTATGGAATGGTGCTTACTGTGAACCATTATTTTACAAAGCTAAAACCAGAACCATAAAGAATTATATGTTGTTATGAATATATATATCATACATATTTATATAGACATATATATATGGCTTAAAACAAGGCTTAAAACAAAGGCTTAAAACATGCATAGAAATGCTAAATATAATTTAGGATGAGGATTACTTCTGAGGAAGGAAGAGAGAAATGAGATGAGGGAGGGGCACAAGGAGCTTTGATTTTATCTGTAACAATTTATATCTCTTAATACTCTGAAGCAAATATGGTAAAATATTAAGTTTTGATAGAACAAGGTGATGGATGTCACTAGTTTATTCTCTGTTTTCTCTGCATGCTTTAAACACTTTGTTATCAAATTTTCTTTTAAATGGGGAAACTATATAACAAGAAAAGGTTTTATTTAAAATGTTTGATTTTTTAAAGACAGACTTTCCCTTTTACTTTAATTGACAAAAATCTTAGTACTAAATCGAATGCTCAATCTTAGTTACTCAAATAGTCTAAATTTTTTGGTAACTTTATTCTGACATAAAAATGTGTACGTTTAAAGGAAAATACAAAGAATTCTAAAATACCCTTTACAAGAATTCAGCAATTGTTTATTTTTTTGTCCCATTTGCTTTATCCTGTTTATCCTGTGTGCACACTTTCTTTCTCCCTTCCTGTCCTTGCCCCCATGCCATGTGTATGCATGCACACACACACACATGCACACACATGCACACAAATGCACACACGTGCGCATAAATGCACACATATGCACACAAATGCACACACATGCGCATAAATGCACACATATGCACACAGGCTCACACACATGCACAGACACATTTCTGCTTGCTCTTGGTTCTGACATACATTGTGGAACTTTCTTCTTTCTGCTGCAACGATCTTAGTGAATATGTATTTTTGGGTGGAGGGCGAAGGTTGTTGAGATATAACTTATAAATAAGCAATTCTCAATGTAAATCATTATGTAAGTATAAAGTGTCAAGTTCTATTATTTTATTGATTATTGTAAATAATGTCTAAAAATAAGGGGAAAACAAGAAAAAAGCCCATTTAAATCCCATCACCAATTAACATTTGATGCTATTTTACATGTGTATATATATAATAAATACATCTGTGCTCATCTTGAATAAACAGTTCTATTTTCTACTTTGTTAATTAACATAACAGTACTCATATTTTATGGCTTTAAATGTCTCTGCCATTGCTAATAATATATCAGAATTCTTTTGGATATTTCTCCTATAATTAGAGAGGTAGTAATCATGAACTGCGATGTTAAGAAAAATAAATTATATTATCAAAACTAAATGCAGAAGTTCTTTTTTAGTGTTTCTAATTCTAGATTTATGTGACTCCAGGCAGTTTCTATGTGATCCTGATAAATATATTCCCTACTAATTAATGTCGTTTTTAAAGTCAACATAAAGACCCCATTAAGGTGCCCAACAAGAAAAAGATCATCTTACTAATCAAACAAAGGAGGGGTTTGGAAGTCACTTTCTTCATAAGTGAAGTCAGTCTCCACACTTTACTTGGAGACTGGATTGCAATGTTGAGTTCTTTAGTGCCCTGCCAATGTTTGGTTTGCAGAAAATGAAACAGTAACTCAATGTGGCCTTTCGGAATCTTGAGGAACTGCCAGAGAGTTTCAGATGATGCTTTTTATGTCTAATTAGAATATAAATAACCTGTGAACATCAGAAACCAACCATCCAGAGATAGCCTGGAGGTTTAACCACACCATTTTCTTTATGAAATGAAAATATATTGGCTGTAGTATTCTCCAGTATGCAGTCATGCACTCGCCACCACTGCGCGTTCTTGCCACAACCCCATGCCACCTTATGATTATGCACTTAGTATCCTTTTGGTCAATTCACTTTATCATTCAGTAATTTTTTTTTAAAAAAAAGAATTTACATGTTTGTAGATAAAAAGTAATGTGATTAGAAACCAGCTTCACTTGTAATAAATAGACTGTAGCTGTAAAAATATACAAAATAATGCAAACAAAACCATGTTGTTAAATTCTATCTAGAGTCTCTTGCCTGACAAAAAATATCTGAGCCCAAATTCTAAGTTTCTCCCCCGTCTCCCTGCTCAAAGAGAGGTTGGTAGACAGAGAGGAATGAGAGGCCAACACCTCTGGAGGGGAATGGTCTCATGGACGATTTCGGGAAGCCGGGGCGAGGCCTGGAAAGGGGACTCCTTTCCCAGCAGCTCTTTCCATGTCTACTGCAGGACGGCATTAGCACGTGATCGGCGACAATCTTTAACGTCCTGTCTGCGTATCCCCTACAATTATCTCACGAACCACAGAATGTCACTGGGTGGCACACGCTCCACGGTCAGAAGTGACTCTGAGGTTGCTCGGAGAACAGGCACTTGCCCTTTCCAAGTTTAGAAAGGACTGCTGTGGGGCTGGGAGAGAGAGGGGGCACGTGCCAAGTGTCCGCACGGGGCCTACCTGCGAGGTAAGGGCGCAGTCACCGCAGGCCGCTGGCATCGCCACCGTCCTCATCGTTGCCATTGTCACTGTAATTCCCAGGGAGAACGCCACGGGCCTCTACGGCGATCCAAGAGAAGATGGGTCATCACCACCTTGGAGCTGGAGGAGGAAGACCCGGGCCCCTTTCCCAAATTCGTGGGCGAGGTAAGGCGCCTCCTCTGGGGGAGGGACCCCCGTCCCCCCCCTGAGTCAGCGTCCCCGCCTCTCGGAATTCAGCCTTGAGGGGGCTGTGCTGGCGAGTCAGGTGCTGAAGTGGAGTGGAAGGAAGGCGGGACCGGGGCTCAGGACGCCTGCTTTCTGGATCCTGCCCCACCGCTGCTTGTGCGTGCGACCGCTCCCCGCGGCTGTGCGGTGAGAACCGCCTGTAGCAACAGGCTGAGCAGTTCCTACGTGCAAGGCCCCTTTTCCTTGGCCCGTGCAGAGTCTCTCTTAAAGAGTTCATTGATTTTTCTTTTTTTCAATGAACTCTTTAAAAGAGACTCTGCACCGGCCAAGGAGGGTGGTGGGCAGATGGGAGGGGGGAGGAGGAGAAGAATTTATACTCACAAAATAGGTGCGATGCGCACCACCTGGGGCTAGGACGCGCTTGATGGTTTGGCAAGGCAGGGGGTGGGGGGAGGAATGGCAGGGGCAATATATGTAACCCTAACAATATTTGTACCCCCATAATATGATAAAATAAAATAAAATTAATTTTTAAAAAGTTCATTGATTAAAAATAGGAAGATTGTATTAAAAGTTCTGCCCTTCCAGAAGCTTTTCAAAAATTGGAAGCTCTGGCCACATGGAGCCCATATTCCCATGTGGCACAATAAGCTGGGGCTTGAGTTACCCAGATTACCGCGGTCTCCACCACTCGCCATGCCTCCCCATGCTGAGGCTGAGTCTCCACTGCTCAGCTCACTGGGGAAGACACATGATGATGCTGGAATCCCGGAACTTTTACACTCGCCCCATGTTGTTCCTTTCTGCTAACTTCCTGGCACTAGTGGGCCTTTGAATTATGTACTGATTAAGTTCTCCTATAGGTGTGACATTCTATGATTCCTAGAAAAAATTAAATATATTTTGTATTTTTGTAATATTTTTGAGAAGTGATATATGTCTACTGTTTAAAAAAAAAACAAACAAACCCAAACCCACAAAAGTTAGAGAAAGTTTCAAAGCTCTCTGGTTAAAAGACTCTCGAGAGTCAGGAGGATCGAGTGGGCTCCTGTTCCCACTGCACCACGTGCTCACTGTGGCAGTTGGACATCCTTAATGTGCCTCATCTGTACAATGGGGTCGGTGATAGATAGTACGTACGCTACCGCGATGTTGTAAAGATTAGATGTAATAGGAGAAGGCAAGCAAGGCATAGAGCAGTCTGGCTCATTCCAAGCTTCATCTAAGTGTCAGCTGTAGGATCACCGCTTCGCTTTCCCCCAAGGGATAATCGACATTCACAAACTGGTATGTATTCCTCCAGACATTTCTGTGCGCATTTGCTAATGCGATCCTGGATTAAAGAAGCGAGATCACATTACGTGTGTTGTTCTGCCACTGCCTGTCTTGTTTAAGGACGTGTCCTGCCCATCCACCTGTGGCAGGGCAAGAAAATCTTCAAAGGCTGCAGAGGATCCCATACTGTATGAAGGGAGTGTCGTTATATGATTTTTTTTTGTACCGATGGACACTTATGCTATATATAACAGTTTTTTTTTAACCAATTGCAGCCAATATCTTTGTTCCCACATCTTTGCGTGTCTGTTTTTTTCTTTAGTGTGATATAAATCCTCAGCTGAGCCGCTGCTGGGTATGATTCCTCCAAGGTTCCTTTGATTCTGAGCTTTGACACCTGATCATCACAGTGGTTTGTTCTCATCCTTTGTTTCTTTCCATTTTTTCTCCTTCCAGCTGTTCAACAATATGTCTGAAAATAGGACGTTAATGTATTTAATCAGTGGACCTGGTGTGGATGAATATCCGGAGATTGGTTTGTTTTCTATAGAAGATCACAAGAATGGAAAAATATATGTTCACCGCTCTGTTGATCGTGAAACGACACCGTCTTTTATGGTATCTAAAATTTGATATATTATATTACCTAAGCTTGGATTTATTGTAAAGCTCTCGTAAGACTATTGTGTTTGGTAAGAATTATTTAAACTGATTATTTGCGAGGTTGTGGGAGATCCAGATACACACTCTGACAAGCTTTAGAAGAGTGCATGGGATGCAGGTTAATTTTGTAATCTTTTAGGCTGCTGGACTTTGGCTTTGCGATGGTTTCTGCAACTATATGAGCTGCTATAGACCTTTCTTCTAATGACCCAAATGATCGGGATATCTGAAAGCATTTGGGGATAGAGTCACAGAATGTCCATAAAATAGGCTAATTTAGGTTTTTATGAATGACATTTGAACTATGGAGACAAGCTGAAAACAGACCACATGGGTTGCCCAATGGCTGATGAATGAGGACTTGCATACCTATTGACAGTGTCTTACTGTGAAACCAGTTGTTCTTATGATTTCATCACCCCAACACTGTGGTCTATTATGAAGTTGAAATTCAGGTTCTAAGCCAGGAAAGGAAATTACAAACAAAAATGCCCAGAGCACATGGTGGAATATCATGTTACCCAGACGACCTTGCAGGGAGTGTTTAGATGGCCGGACTTTGCTCTATTCCCACTTCCGTGGGGCGGAGCTGCTGGGAACTGGGCTTGGTTCTCAGGCCTGCTTGGCTGCCAATGACTCTGCAGTCATTGCAGAGAAGATGTTGCCCGACATTCGAGAAAAGCAATTTGTGAAGCTTTCTCCAGTGGCTTCAAAGTATTTATACACACACTAAAATGGATACCCTTAACTCACCCGTAGGCTCTGGATCTCTAATTTTTAACCAGGCAGATATTGTCCCCAAACTTTGGCAGACAGAGATGACTCTCTCTAGGTGTCCTCTGTGCATATAAACTCTCGCCTCCCTTCTCTGCAGAATTTGCAGTGTCTGTTAGAAAGAAGGAATATGGAGTCGTCTTAGGGAGCCCGGAGCCAATGCTTCTAAATCTTTTATGAGCAAACAGATCACCTAGGATCTTGGTAAAACGCAGATTCTATGCCGGTAGGTCGGGGCGGGGCCTGAGGCTCTGCATTTCTGACAACCTCTCGGGTGATACGGATGCTGTCGGTCCACGAGCTGCTTCTGTGTGTCGGGCAGGGCAGGGAAGGGCTAGTGACGGTCACAACCTGTGCAAGGACGAAACCAAACATTCAGGGCTTGTTTGCTGCTGTCGTTGTTTGTTTGCTTTTAACATTTTAAATGACGTATTAAGGGTTGGCCTTCACAATGATTAATGTGGGGCCTTGTGCCTAGAAGCTGATGATGCTTAACTCAAATCTCTAAGAGCATTTTCTGAAACTTGGGGTTGAGATGGAAACACTTGGCCCATCTCAGGTGGGTCCTGAGTGCCATTTGGAGCAAAAAGTGAAAGCACGGAGGGGAAACAAGTGGCAGCCCCACTGGCTCTGGTGTGTCAAGATTTCAAGGCTCTATGCTTGGACCTTCCTGGTGAAGCCAAATCCATGTTCTAATCCCCCAAAACGTGGACTGCAGTTGTCCTTTCATATTGAGTTAGGTAATTATTGGATACTTGGTCCCTTCATTTGACTACAGACTCCCATGAGGGGAGACACAGGTTGGAAGTTCTGAGCCTCCACCTTGCCCATCAAACTCTGTCTGGTTACCCTGTTCTCATTACCTGCCAGTTCTCACTACCTGAAATGTGCACTTCTGTGTGTGTCTGATTCTCTGGGAAAGTCTTCCATTTTCCCTGAGTCAAGATTAGGGCTCTTCACATAGTGGTTTTTCTGTTAGTTAAGTTGGATGAACGAATAAAACAATGAATGGGCACAGTACAATGTAGTCTCTGCACTGCAAGATGTTGTGAATTGGATTGTGTTTCCCAAAGAGATACGTTCAGGTCCTAACTCATGGCACTTGTGAGTGTGACCCTATTTGGATATAGGGCCTTTGCAGATGTAATCAAGTTAAATGAGGGCATACAGGATCGGGGTGGGCTGCAACCCAGTGGGAGATGAGGGAATTTTGGACACAGACAGACACAGAGGAGAATGCCGTGTGCAGATGGAGGCAGAGAGTGGGATGATGCCAAGGAACATGGAGCCTGCTGTTAACCACGGAAGCCAGGAGACAGGAGACATGGGACAGACTCCCGCTCAGAGCCTTTAGAAGGAACCAACCCTGCTGACACCTTAATTTGGGTTCTAGCCTCTAGGACTGTGCGAGAACAAATTTCTGTTGGAAGCCACCCAGCCTGTGGTACTTTGAAATGGCAGCCACAGGAAACCAACACACAGGGTTTACACACGAGTTAGAAACACATGCAGCAGCCCAACGAGAAGGATTACCAGCCACAAAGAGTGTCAGAAGCCAAGTGTCCTGTGAATACTACACAAATCGAGCATCCTAGCTTACCCGTCCGCTTCTGTGGGAGAACATTCATTAATGTGATTGGTTTTGGCAGCCCATCAAGACAGGCATTGTTAAAAATCAGGGAAACCTAATGTAGTGGCAAAAAGACATCCTAGTAGCACTGCTTTACTCTTGAAGACCCTGAAGGAATCTCTAAAACTAGCCAGAGCAAAAAACCTGTCTTTGGGAGGAGGCGGGGTGGGGGGTGGGGAGCAAACTCCTCATTAATTCCCGAAAGTTATGAGAAAGCAGTTGGGAATTGCTGTAAGATATAAGACAGAGTTGGAAAGGAAAAGTCTGACTTTTGTCTGCGTGGGAATCTTATCTATTTATATCAGAATATGCTCATTTTCACAGGATACCAACACACCTCAGAATTCATCCTTTCCGATTCCTCGAAACAACCAAGTATCTGTCTTTATCCCCACATAGCTGTCTTTGCCTGCTCCTAGCCTATCCATTAAGTGATTTCGTGTTTTGCTCTTGGCAGTTGCACTGTTTCCATATGCTCATTTGTGTGCAAGACCTCAGATCTCATGCATGTAATTCCAAATAGCCATACGGTGATTCATCATGTAACTGCACCATGGTGTGTTTATCCGAGGGTATAAATCTTAAGGCCATAACAAAAGGCTGAAAACACTTTCCAAGTGCAGAAAATATCCATGACATTTCCTTTCTCCATTGTAGTTCTAACTCCCCCGAAATTCTTAGCATCCTGCCAAAGAATAAACAGCACTTGTGCTTCTCAGGCATCTTACTCAGCTGAAGGTCTCGGATGTAGCTTTTAGGGTAATAAATGGAATACAAAATAATAAACATAAAACAAACATCTACTTCTTGCTTGTAAGTGGAAGGATTACAGTTGGTGCAGTTTTGGAGCTGAAAGTCAGGGTGATCGAGGGCAAAGAGTTGCCGGCACGGTCATAAATTATGGAGGAGAATGTGGAGATGGTGTGTGGGAAAGCCAATTTGCTAGCACAAAAATTTAAAAATGTATGTTAGAGTCCCCGGAGCAGACCAGTGCAGTAGCAGAAGCCCTGCAGCCTCCTCCCGTCTCTCTGTGGGGGAGGAGGGGAGCTGCTCCGGACCGGGCTTGGGCCCCGCCAGGAGGCCTGGTGGGCCCGGCGGAGGAAGCCCACGAGTGACAGCAAGTCTGCAGGAAGGAGGCCCGAGGAGCCGCCATGGCAGAGGCGAGCTGGGGGCCCTGAGGCGAGGGGCTGGGGGGGTTGCTGCCGCTGGAAGCTTTCAAGGCCCCGAGACGGGTGCTGTCTGGGAGCCCCCACCCTGGGCTCTGAGGAGCTAGAGGGAGACATGGGCAAGAGCTGGCCCACGGTGCAGTCCCCACCCGTGACTGGCCTTGAACCCGGGCTACTTGGCCTCCATGCGGAGAGCAGAGTAGCCCCGTGGCCTCCCCGTGGTGCAGAGCTGGACGGCTGCCTCCCTCCAGGGCTCCTGCCGGAGGAGAGGAGTCGTCTGCCTTACGAGCTGGGGCTCCGTGAGTCCTGCTGGCCCCGCGTGCTCCCAGCGCCCCCAGGCAGGGTCTCACCTGGACACCAGCTGCTCCTCGAGAACCCGTGGACCCCTTGCAAAGCGGCTCTGCCTGGGCTGCTCCTCAGTGCGGTGTTTGTGGCCTTTCCTATGTCTTGTATGTATTTGTTATATTTTAGTAAATACGTAGTTATTTTTGTTTTATAAGTAAGGACATGGTTTTTTAACATGTATGGACTTTATTTTTCAATGCAGTCTTAGACTCACAGAGCAATGGGATGGAAAGTGGAGAGTGTCCTGTCTGCGTACCCCCAGCCCCGCCTTCCTCCCCTGCTAGAGCTCGCAGTCCGGGTGCACCTGTTATAACCCACGAGCCGGCATTTTGCGTTAGTATTGACCAAAGCGTGTCCTGTCCGAGAGCACTCACCCTTGGCCTTATACTTTCTATGGGGTCTGACACATGTATGACACGTATGACCATGGCAGGGTCGTACACGGTAGTTTCACTGCCCTAAAAATCCCCTGTGCTCCACCTTTTCGTCCCCTTCCCCCCGACTCCCCAAGACCGCGGCAACCGCTGATTGTTTTATTCTCTCCACGGTTTTGCTTTTCCCAGGATCTCATAGCTGGAATCATAGGGTGCCTAGCCCTTGCAGACTGGCTTCTCTCACCCAGCGGTGTGCATTTAGGGCTCCCGCATCTTCTCATCACCGTACGATACTCCATTGTTGGATGGACCACAGTCTGCTTATCCTTTCACCCACCGAAAGCCGTCTTGTTTGCTTCCACATTTTGACAATTATGAATAAAGCTGCCGTAAACGTTCGTGTGCAGGTTTTCGCGTGCACACACGCTTTCAACACGTGGCTGGATGGTATGGGAAGAGCATATCTGGTTTCGAAAGGAACCACCAAGCTGTCTTCCTAAGTGGCTGCACCATTTTGCATTCCCACCAGCGATGAGGGAGCATTCCTGTTACTTATACGTACTTTCCAGGTGTAAAATTAATGAAGGCTTCTCATAAAATTTTAAACAATAGAAAAACCCATGAAATAGTAATGAAAAATCTTGCCCTACCTCCTAACTTTTCTCTCTGTTCTCATTCCACAGAGGGAGAACGGAAACCACAGAGAAGTTACAACATTCACATTCTTCACTTACTAGATTTAATATAAAGTATTTTTATAACTTCTTGGATACTGCAATGACCTTAGAACCCTTAACTACATTTACTCCTTCCACATTTCATGTTTATTGCTGAGCAGTGGTATTTTATACATCAAGCTGAAGGACACTTGGGTTCTTTTCTGTGTTTGGTGATCATACCAAAACTGCTATAAATCTACAGTTTTTGTGTGAACATCGGTTTTCATTTGGGGGGGAGAAGTAGGAGTGTCTTGGATCACACAAGTATATGTTTAACTTTATAAGAAATTCCTGGATTAGTTTTCATAGTGGCTGAACAATTTTGCGTTCTCACTAGACACGTGCGAGAATTCCGGAATGCTCCGTGCCTTTGGAAGCACTTGAGATTGTCGGGTTTTTCAGTTTAGCCATTCTAACAGCCGTGTGGTGGTAGTAGCTCACTGTGGCTTTCAGTGTGACTTCCCTAATGACAAATGATGCCTTATTTGCCAGCTGTAGATCTTCTTTGCAGAAGTGTCTGTTCAAACCCTTTGTCCATTTTAAAATTGTGCTGTTTGTTTTCTTATTACTGAGTTTTGAATACAAATCCTTTTTCAGCATGTGATATGCAAATGTTTTCCCTTAGCCAGTGGCTTTGTCTTCTCATTCTTTTTAACAGTGTTCTTCACAGAGCAAAAGTTTTAAGTGTTGATAAAATCCAATTAATCAATATTTTTTTCTTCTGGATCATGTTTTTGGTGTCATATTTAACACATGATCATGGGGATTTTCTCCCTTTTTTGGCTATAATTTTCATAGTTTTGTGTTTTACATTTAGGTCTATGATCTATTTTGAGTTAATTTTTGTCTCAGGTATCAGATGTAAATCCAGCATCCAGCGTTTTGTTTTGTTTTTGTTTTTGCATATGGACATCCAGTTGTGGCAGCACCATTTGCTGAAAGACTGTCCTTTCTCACTGAGTTGCCTTTGCATCTTTCTCGAAAATGAATCAACTGTATTTTGTGAGCTTATTTCTGCACTCTTTATTCTGTTCCAGTGATGTGTGTATTTATCTTTCCACCAATACTATGCCCTCTGGATTATTGTATCTTTATAATAAATCTTGAAATGACATAGTGTAAGTCCCCTTTTTATTTTTCAAAATTGTTTTGGGTATTCAAATCTCTTTGCCTTTCCATATAAATTTTCAGATCAGCTTGTTGATATCTCTAAAAACTTCTGCTAGCCTTTTGGTTTGGCTTGTACCAAATGTACAGATCAATTTGGGAGGAACTGCTGTCTTGGCAATGTTGAGTCATTAAGTCCATATACACAGAATATCTTTGCATTCAATTAGGTCTTCTTTAATTTCTTTCATAAGTGTTTTACAGCTTTCAGTAAACAGATCCTGCATACATTTTATATTTGTAAATGGTCCTGTTTTTAAAATGTTGGTTTCTAATTATTCATTGCTGATCTATAGAAATGTAATTGACTTTTACATATTAATGTTCCACTTATGGCATTGCCAAAATTGATTTAAATGTGGAATCAGCCTTATATTCTCAGGGCAAAGCCCATTTGCTCATGATAAATATTGCTGGATACTATTTGCTTATATTTTGTTGACGATTTTTGAGTCTAGGTTTACAAAGGATATTGTTCTGTAGTCTTCTTGTATTTTTTAAAAATCTGACTTGGTATAATGATAACATTAGTCTCATAATAAGTTGGGAAGTTTTCCTTCCTTTTATATTTTCTCGAAGAGACTGTGTTGAATTGGTATTACCTCTTCCTTCCTATTTTGCTAGAATCTACCGTTGAAATCATCTGGGCTTGCAGTTTTTTTTTGTTTTTATTTCATGGAAGATTTTAAACTACAAATTCCATTTCTTTAATAGACATAGGACTGTTCAGGCTATCTATTTCTTCTTGAGAAAGTCTTGGCAGTTTTTCTCTCTCAAGAATTTGGTCCATTTCATTTCAGTTGTCGGATCTGGTGGCATAAACTTGGCCGTGCTCTTCCTCGTTATCCTGTTAGCATGTGTGGGGTCCACAGCAGCCCTTCTCTCAGTCTTGGGGTTGACACTGTCTCCCCTGTGGCTCATCAGTCTTCCTAGAGGGTCATCCATTTAATTGACAATGTCAAAGAACCAGCTTTTGGTTTCATGACTTCATTCTTTCATTGTTTTCCATTGCACTGATACATTCTGCTCTTGCCTTTGTCATTCCTTCTTTCTGTTTGGGTTTAATATGCTCTCTTTTAAAAAAATTCTTAAGATAGACACTTAAATTTTTGATTTGAGACCTATTGAAGGGAAAGTCTTTACACATGTGTGTTTGAGGTGGATGGACCTATCTTAGCCACGTACAGAACCTAGCACGTCAGTGGCTGTGCTAGTTGCTGTAGAAGTTCGCTCCCCCCCAAACCTCAGAGTGCCTGCCACCTGCAGTGTTGCAGCCACACTTAGTAGTGTATTCATTTCTCATGACAGTGCTGATGGCTGTAGAAAATGAAGCTCATAAGCACCTTGCCTGTGTTTACACGGTGGGGTGGGGGGGAGCTGAGATTTGAACCTGGTGATAACTGATCGATTGTTTTTTCTAGTCAGTGCATTGATTTGTTCTACGCATTTATTGAGCACCTAGTCTGTGCCGGCACTGTGCGCTGCCCTGAGCTTACACAGACCTACATGGTGCGTGAAAGCCATCTGATTCCTGTGCTCAGGAGCTGTCAGTCTATCGGAGGAGACAGATACAAAACGCACAGTCACGCCGACAGTCGTTTGGGTCGTGTCATCGAGTAAATGTTTCTGCAACATTTATGCCGTTCTCCGCTTCCCAGGTCTGCTTTGATGCCGTGGATCGCTCAACAGGGGAAATTGTGGATAGATCCTTGATTTTCAACGTTAGAATCAGGGATGTAAATGACCACGCACCCCAGTTTCCTGAGAAGGAATTTAACGTCAGTGTGAAAGAGAACCAAGCTGCAGGTGTGCGGGGCTGGGGGCGGACGGGGGGTGGGGAGGTGGGGAAGGGGGGGGGCCCTGCGGGGCTTCTGCCCCTGCTCTGTCTTCCTGCTCTGGTGCCGCCGCGGAGCTTGATCCTTGCCGTCTTCACGGAGCTTTTACCGTTCACATCGCAAAGGTCGCGGGCCCTGCATCAGAGCAAAACGCTTTGAGGTCCGTCGGCCTCATTGTGTATTGGCCATAAACTGATGTAGACATTGTGTCCGTTGGAAGAGCTGATATGTAAATGCCGATCTAAAAATAAAGCCACATTCAGTGAAGGAAAAAGAGCTGGGTGGTGAGTTCCTGATTATCTCTGCCAATTTGTCATCTGTAAAACGGCAACGAGATGAAAGTCTCTGAGTTACAGATACTGTGAGTCTTTAAATCCCAACCACTCTAAGTAGAATGTGGATTATTTTAATAACAAGAAGTTATTTAACTTTTAAAATATACTTTACGAAATTTGGAAAATTCTGAGAAATGAAAACACTGCAAAAGAAAGCATCTTTAATACTACTAATGAGAGATACATACCATTAATATTTTAGTTTGTATCCTTTCAATATGTTTCTTTGCATTTTATGTTTATATATACACACTATATGTTATGTGTATGCAGTCGCAGATTTTTATTTATAATGTACAATGCATATTTATATATGCATACATTGTTCATCTTTATTTAGCACAAAATGTGTATGTGCACATATTAAATATTTACACATATTGGGCGTGCTTTTTTATATGTGTATATTTATGAATTTCCTTTTTTAGAAATGCGATTTTACTGTTTGTAAATAAATATCCTCCTGCAGCATCCTACTGAGTAATATGTTACGATGTGCTTTAAAGTGTTCAGCCAATCTTCTTTCTACTGATGAACATGCATGTTTTGTTGTCACTTTTTGTTATTTTTATAAAGTACATTTCAATGAACAGATGTAAGCTATAATAAATCTCTGTCCCAACCCAGCACTATTGACTTAGCACCAACTCAGGGACGTGGACTTGACAGTCCCACCTGCGCACACGATTTCAGTGCCCCCATTTCTCATCTGCCAGCAATGTGCACATGCGTGTCCACACATGTTGTCTTTGATGATTATGGGATTCGACTTTTTTTTCCAGTTGCTTTTTTCTTTCTTTTGTCCATTTTTTTGTTACCATGTTTGTTGTTTTTCTTCTTGGTTTTAACCTCTGCATTTCATATTGAGTATAGATCTGCCTGCCATATATAAATCAAATACGTTTTCCTGCTTTATCATTTCCTTTTTAATTTTGTCTGTAGTTTTTTGCCATACATTTTAAAATGTAACCCGATCTATCTGTTTAGTCCTTTAAGCCTTCTGCGTTTGCAATCATGACTTAAAAAGGTATTTTTGACCTTATGGCTATTTAAATATTCAACTTTATCTTGTCTAGTGTGTCTATAGTTTGATTTTATATTCAAATACTTCATTCATTCATGCCATTTAATAAATAATTCATCCTCTTAGTGGTTTGATAGGGTGCCTTTGTCCAACAGTAACAATTAAAAAAATTTCTTTCCAGGTCAACCTATTTTTCAGGTGTTAGCAGTTGATTTGGATCAAGAAAACACTCCAAATTCTCAAGTCCTTTATTTCCTCGTTTCTCAAACACCATTACTGAAAGAAAGTGGTTTCCGGATTGATCGTATCAGTGGAGAAATAAAACTCTCAGGATGTCTAGATTACGAGGTTATGTGGATTTTATTATTTAAAAAAATACGAAATGTGCTGCCTATCTTTGAGCCCCAGGCTTAGATTCTGTGTTTGCAGTGGGGAACCCTCTGTGGCTAGACTTGCTATTGCAATTGCTACATGGAATATTTTCTTTATTACTATTTTCCTGTCCTGTGTTTTAAGGGCCTAACTTCCCTTTTCCTCCCCACATAGACTGCGGCCCAGTTTACCCTCGTAATCAGAGCCCAGGACGGGGGAGAGCCATCCCTGTCATCCACTGCCACGGTCCACATCCACGTGCAAGACGGCAACAACCACCTGCCTACGTTTGCCCGGGAGAATGTAAGCTGCCTGGGCCGCCCCCAGCTCTAAGCCCCAGAGCAAAAGTCCCCTGGGGCCTTAAGTTATCTTGGGCATCACCCGAGATAACAAACAATTCTCCAAAGGCACGTAAGCTAAAACCAAGGAGTCAAACCATATCGACCGAGAGGCACGTACCAATAGAAACAGGAGCTAACATTCTGGCTGCTTGGTGCCAGATGCCATGCGAAGCACGTTTACGTGCAGTTTTAACTGTTGAGAGCACCAAATGATTTCTGTTTCGCAGATGAGAAAACTGAGGCCCAGGAGAGGTAGGGAATCCCTGTTCATTGAAGTCAGGGTTCCCCAACTTACAACACTGGGCCGGATCATTCCTTGGGGTGGTGGCTGTTCTGTGTGTGACAGGATCCTTGGCAGCACCTGTGGCCTCTGCCTACTAGATACCAGCAGCAGCCCCCGGTAGGGACAACCAAAAATGTCTCCACACAACGCCGAATGTCCCCTGGGAAGCAGACACTCCCTTGGTTGAGAGGTCTAGACTTGAGGTTTTCACACTGTTCAGGGTTCTAGAGGGGGTGACGCGCAGGTAGTCTTTGGCCCTGCCTTCCTCACCTTGCCGGTTTACATACTGGGGCTCCACGTACGATGTCACAGGCTCCGGACCCTCGGGCTTTACGACAGCACTGAGAATGATGTGTAACAGGTGTCCTCAAACGACAGCCCGAGGGCCACGTGCGGCCCGCTGAGGACATTTATCCGGCCCGCCGGGTGTTTTTGCCGCCGCTGCCTGTCCTGCTTAGCAGCCGGCTCGTCCCGGGCCCGCAGTGCGCATGTGTGGAATGTGCGCCGCGCTCTCCAACGGCCTCCAACAGTCTGAGGGACAGTGGACTGGCCCCCTGTTTAAAAAGTTTGAGGACCCCTGCTGTGTAAGACCCTTGGGAAAACCTCATCAAGGCATGCAAGACTGTAAGGAGATAAGAATACTCAGGATCTCTTTCCAGTTTTTTTTTATTTTTTTACTATCCTATATGTATTTTTAAGAAGTAAATTATCCATTATGTGTCCCTGTTTCTCCTGGACTCCCAGTCAGGCCTTTCTTTCCTGACTACCCAGTTAAAACACTCACACTCCCTTCCTGGGACACACTCCAGCCCTTTGTGCTTTCTTCTTCTTCATGGTGTTCTATTTAATTAGTTAGCTTGTTTCAGTTATTGTCCAAATGGCCCCTACACACACACACACACACACACACACACACACTCTCAGTTGTCAGCTCCCTGAGGATGGGGTCGTTGCCTGTCTTGTTCACAGCATCTAAAACAATCTGGTACCTAGCAGCTGTTGTTGAATAAATGACGAAAACAAGTATTTTTAAAAGGTGTCATTTAAAATTAAAAAAAAAATATTGTATAAACCAAAGTCAACTGTTTTCAAATGAAGGCACCCCACAGAGAGTACATAATGACTACAAAATAATATCATGTTTGAACCTTGTTTTGAATTCCTTCCCTGGCTTGATAAAAAGCTGAGCTCTCGAAACGAAGGCAGGAACAAATAGAGCCTGCTATCTGGATGTGCTCGTCTGGACACATTGCCACCAAAAGAGACACTGAGCAACGGGCTGTTTTAAAGATCTACATGTGTTAGAAAAATGATCACCTTAATCTAAGTAACCACAAGTGTCCTGTTTTAGGAGAAGAGCTAGGATTTTTAGGGAACATAAAGTAGCATAAAGTGTATTATTATTTTTAAAATTCTTAGAAAGATAGTGCATGGAGTTGGACCTAAGAGGGCTTTGAAAATTATTCAGCTGTAGACAACAGATCACAGGTAGGAGGGGCGAGAGGTTCCTTCCTGAGGCTCCTGCCGCAGCGGCGGAATCTCGGAATCTCACACCCCAACGCCAGTCCCAGCAGCATCAGGCCTGTCCAGGCCGCTGGGGGTTGTGTCGGGGACCTACACTTTCTTCCTCCCCCTCTTCCTCCCTCCCTCCCCCACCCCCTCCAAATTGCATTTTTCTTTGTCTCCATGACACGGACACGATGTGGCCTCTTTCAGTACAAGATTCAGATTTCTGAAGGTCAAGTCACCCAGGGCCTGTTGCGTCTCCCGGTTCAAGACCGCGACTCGCCGGGGACAGCAGCTTGGAGAGCACAGTTCAACATACTGCACGGCAACGAAGAGGGGCACTTTGACGTTTTGGCTGACCCCGAGACCAACGAAGGCATCCTAAATGTTATCAAGGTAAAGTCATGACACGCCAGCCAGTGGCGGCAGACGCCGAGGCCCCTTTCCTCGGAATAATTGACAGTGAACTAGGAAACGAACAGCGTGTGGATGCTTGGGGTGTGAGCTCAGGACCCTCTGCAGCCCGTGTCACCCTGTGTCACCCCGTGTCACCCCGTGAGGCAGGCAGGACTGCGTCGCCTCTTCTGTGCTTGGGCTGATCCTCCTCCCACCACAGTAATGTCGACACTAAAAATTATTTGCGACGTTGCCTAAAGGTTTCGCCATGTGTTTTGTCTTAGGCAAAATGTAATAGATTTACACAGGCCCCTAAAATGTTTACTTTTTCCTGATGTGATAAAAAAAAGATGAAAATATATTCTTCAAGCCTAGACGTTCTTCTTTTCTTCCTGTGAGTTTTAAACGTTTAGAACGTTTAAAGTTCAAAAGAGACGAAAACATCCGCGTGGCCCCTGAGAGGATGGTGTGCCCCTGGCAGGTGCCCACCTGTGCCTTACGGAGAAGTCGGCCCTGGAGGACAGCGCTCCTAACTCATTCCGCTGGGAGGGGGGCTGAAGCCCAGAGAGGTTGAGCCCTTTACAAGAAGTCACACAGCTTGAAAACTGTGGAGTAGAGATTCTGACCAGGGCAGTCTGACCCCACTGCCTCCAGTCTTCATTAGCTCTCAGCCAGCCCCTAGAATGATCAAGGCCTCTCATGCAGGGCAGGTGAGTCACCTGCAAAACGGCACCGAGACTCTGCCTGAGAGTTTTAACAAGCCCCCAGGTGCTGCTGATGGCCCACAGACTGTGAATAGCAAGGGTCTGAGACTCTACACCAGGTGCCCGGGGTGGAACTTTCCAAACGTTCCCCAGCCTTGCGATCCTTTTAAGTCACTGACCACTCTGTACCCTGAATAACCATGATCATTAATATCTATATTTCCCTAAGTTCCCTGACTTTCTGCAGCGTGGCTGCCGCATGAATGTTTCATTAGGTTATGGTTTTTGTTGCATTTTTCATGACCCTCTGATGGATGGTGGCTCTGTTCAGCCAGAGAGGAGGAGGAAATAAAAAAAAAAAAAGAAAGAAAGAAAAGAACTCCATAAATGATTTGAAAAATGCGCTGAAGACTGTCTTTTGATCATTATCAAAGACAACGTAAATAGTGCATGAAGTGCGAGAGCCACGCGCTGTGAGTCCGTGGCGCGTGCTGGGTGCTGGGCCTCTCGGGCCGGCGGGAGCTAACGAACCCCCTCTGGCTTTCAGCCTCTGGACCACGAGTCGCGCCCGGTGCGCAGCCTCGTCATCACCGTGGAGAACGAGGAGCCGCTCTTCTCCTGCCAGAGGGGCGAGCTCCGGCAGCCCAGGGGGGCCGCGGCAAGCGCCACCGTGAGTGTGCAGGTGGCCGACCCAACGACCCGCCCGCCTTCCACCCCGAGAGCGTCGTGGTCAGCTTAGAGGAGGGCGCCAGGCCTGGGACCCCGCTGGGAACGCTCAGCGCCATCGATCCCGACGGCCCCGCAAGCCAGATGAGGTGAGGGCAGAGGGACAGGCGGGCAGCGGTGCGTGCACTCGGCAGCCACCGAGAGGAGGGGCCTTCTGCTGGACAGCTGGCTCCTCCCATGCGTTCAGGGGTGGACTAAGCCTCCGTTATGAAAGCCCGAGAAGCCGCCAGGCGAATGCCCACCGGCCCAGGTTAAATGTCCTCTTGGCTCTGCAGCCTTCTCTGACCCCCCCAAGGGAAGTCACCTGCTCATCCCCTTTGCCTTCCCATGGGCTTCTTTCCTTTTCTTTTCTTCATATTGGAATCATTTGTTCATATGTTTCTATCTCCCTCTTTACCAGAGGTTATAAAATGGCAGCCTTCTTGTTTCTGGGCAACAAGTGTTTTTTTTTGTTGTTGTTTTTCCTTTTAAATTGTGATAAAATGCACATTATGTAAAATTTACTATTATAGCCATCTTTGACATTTAATCAAGTCAGTGGCACTAAACACATCTGCTATGGTTGTGTGAACATCACCACCGTCCACTTCCAGGACCCTTTCCGTCTTGCACAACTGAAACTCTGTCCCCGTCAAACACTAACTCCCCAACCGCCCCCTGCAACCCGGCACCCACCGCTCCACCTTCTGTCGCTGTGAATGTGACTGCTCTCGAGACTTCACACAGGCAGAATCATACAGCCTTTGCCTTCGTGCGTCTGGCTCATTTCACTTGACGTGGTGTCCTCAACGTTCATTCTGATGTGTGTAGCACGTGTCAGGATTTCCTTTCTTTTTAAGGATGAATATAAATATATACACACCACACACTCACATACATTGCATGCATTCACCACATTATTTTGGTCTATTCACCCATCTTTGGGTTGCTTGGTGGATTGTGTTTTTTTCTTTTTTTGAGACAGAGTCTCACTCTGTTCTCCCGGCTAGAGTGCTGTGGCGTCAGCCTAGCTCACAGCAACCTCAGACTCCTGGGCTCAAGCGATCCTCCTGCCTCAGCCTCCCGAGTAGCTGGGACTACAGGCATGCGCCACCATGCCCGGCTAATTTTTTCTATATATATTAGTTGGCCAATAAATTTCTTTCTATTTTTAATAGAGATGGGGGGTCTCACTCTTGCTCAGGCTGGTTTCGAACTCCTGACCTCGAGCAATCCACCCGCCTCAGCCTCCCAAAGTGCTAGGATTACAGGCATGAGCCACCGCGCCCGGCCTAGTGGATTGTTTTTAAAAATGAAGTTGCCAGCGTTTGTAAAGAAGACGATGATGTGTAACAGCTGCATTTTCTGCCTATTTGTGAAGGAGCAGGATGATTTGGACTGCTTGGGTCCCTATTACATGGGGCCATGATCACAGGGGCAGAGCAGGGGTCGTGGGTCATGCCCCTTCACCCCTAAGGCTCAGCAGGTGGCCTCAGTCCTCATTCCGCCAACGCCACTCATTTCTAGCACCTGCTTGGCCCCTGTCCACGCTCGAGTTTGGGATTCCTCCTTAGAGCCACGCTTCTCAGCGTACCTGTTGGGAAGGGCCAGATTTCTTTTTTCATTTCCAATGCATTATGGAGTGATCATTTTGCAAAACATAATGCAAATGAATGACTAGAAAATGTACTAGGAGGATACAGCGACACCTACGAGTGCAAGACTTTCTCAACACTTGCTCTTAATTCTTGCTGTTATCTCGCTGTGAGCAGCTAACCCAGAGCCCACAGACGGTGTCCGTATGTGCCCGCTGGTGCACGTTGAGTTAGCGCGGCTCTTCAGCTGTCATTGTCAAACTACAGCGTGTGTCAGAATTTCTGGAGGGCTTGGTAAAATGCAGCTTGCTAGGCCCCCTCCTGGAATTTCTGATTTAGAGGTTGGGGTGGGGACTGGGATTTGCTTTTCTAATAAGTTCCCAGGCGATGCTAATGATGCCAGGAGGGACCTCCCTTTGAGAACCACCGATGAGGAGCCCACGTCCACTTCCTCGCCGCCTTGCTGTCTCTTGAGTACGGCTGGCTTACAAGCAGGCCTCCGTATGTGTTTGGATTGCGCTGAAGTCAGGAACTAAACAGTCCATTCACTTTAGCCTCAGATGTTGCTTTCTGCAGGGTGTGTGTCAAGTGTCTACTGTGGTGGGGTGGAGACTAGATCTGGTGAGCAGGTTTTGTTTAGCCTTGTTCTGCTCCGTTTGCATTGACCGGAGTTAACTTTCATGCATGAACTTGGCCTGAGATAATCCACAGATGAACTGAGTTTCTCCCCCTGGTTTGTAAACATTGCCAAACCACACAGCTTTTCTAAGGAACTTCTGGAAGCTTCCATAAGAGGTGAAGCAGTTTACAAAAAAGCTTTGATCCTTTTAAAATCTGTGACCCACCGAATACAGGAGAGGGCTAGTTGTTGACCCTTTCGAAAGTGTTTTCCCAGACGATGAAGGGGAGGCGTAGGGGGAAACGGACCTTCTCCACGCTTTCTGGGGCCTGCACTTTTTCTGTCCCTTGCCTGAGCCCAGGAGGTCCCTATGGTGGGCCCCTCAGCAGGCGGCTGTGGGCGGCAATCTGGCAAGGTTCCAGTGAATGCCATCTGACGCTGACCGCTCTCACAAACCCTGGAGGGCTCGGCATGGCCACCCCTGAAAATGGGACCAGGTTACCCAGGCGTGGATCCTCTGGGCTCTGCTACAAAGCGCACACTCCAGGGCAGTAGAGTCCCGTGCCTCTGTGGCCGGGCAGGTTGGTTTTTAGCAGTGAGCTGCTGGCACCTGCAGTCCTTGCAGGCTGGTTCTCCTCCGGCACGGGCTGCTTCCCCAAGGCAGACACAGTTACGTCCAGCCCAACACGGAGGGAGACGTTAGGATTCCAGTGAACGTGGGCCTGACACCCTAATAGCGTCTTCCAGACTGTCGTCCCCTGCCTCCGTTAACATTCACGAACGCTCTTGCAGCAGCGTTAATTGCTCTTGGAATCTCCTAAATTACTTGGGATAGGAGTAGTAGTGTTTCTCTGGCATAGTTTGATTTTTCTCTTGATGTGACTTTTTAATTTTAAAGATTGTGTGTGTTTTCCTTCTACCAGATACGAACTGGTCCGTGACCCAGCAAATTGGGTTGCCGTAGATGAAAACTCGGGAGCTGTCATCACCAGGGGGCCCATTGACCGAGAATCCCCTCACGTCAACGACAGCTTTTACACGATCGTCGTCCTCGCTGTGGACAGTGGTGAGCGCTTACCCAGCACTGGGGGGGAAAGTGCTCGTTCTTCCTTCCTGAGGGAGAATGACACCCGTGAGAGTCTTTCAGCATCACTGAGAAAAATATAAAAGAACCCTTGTTATCACTTTGCATCCATGCTGGGGATTATTTCCGATAATAATTCTTGAAATGGTTGACGAGGGACCAATACCATCCAAAGAGGGCAGTATTCCTTCAGAAGAGACAGCTACGCCAGCGAGGAAGCTGCAATCACGCCCGGCACCTTTTCATCTGTTCATGAGATAACTCTCTAGCTCTTTGCCAAAGCCAGCGAAGTGCGGCCGATAAATATCTAGCACGGTTTCCCTGTTTCCCTGTACTCGGGGTGGCTTGTAATGGGCTCAGGTAAATGGGACTGTGTGGGACAAATATGTCATTAACCAGGGTGGGTGGTTTTATGAGACTGTTTCAGTGCTTTTCTCTACAATTTCCCCAAGGATGAATTTTTAAATTCACCAAAACAAATTTGAATAAATGGAAAATTTCAAATGACTTTACAGTTGCATTTGGGGAAGTCTGTGAACTGAAAGGCAGGTTCCCAAGGATAGGTAACTCTATGTCCCACTTGCACAATTAGCTGGTTGAATGTTGGTTATGAAGACAGGGAACCTGTCCCTAATCAATATCATGGGAGGAGAAAGAAACTAGGGCTAATGTTCTAGGGTCCTATGATTCTGTTTTTGGATGTTTCCTTGATGGTTTCAAATTTTTTATTATAAACAAAATTTTGGATGATTATAGATTCACATGTAGTTTTAAGAAACTATATAGTGGATCCCAAGAATCCTTCGCCCAGTTTCCCCCAGTGGGAACACCTTGCAAACTGTGGTGCCACATCACAACCAGATGCAGCTGAGATTCTGGAACATTCCTATCCCTGAAAGGACCTCTCGCATCACCCTTTTAGTGCCACGCCCACTTCCCTTTTGCCTCAACACCAGGCATGATTGACCTTTTCATTTATTTAACGATGTCACATTCTACCTCATTCTACAAACGATCCGAGGAGGCAAGTGTTCGAACTTACCCAGATATTCTGAGTTTTTATAAAAGCAGGAAAACAAATCCAGGGCATGCCAGTGAGGCTTATGAATTTGAAAGGTCAGCGGTCCCAATATTTCGGGGGAACGGTTCTTTCTTGAGAGACAGGGGTTGCTCATTCTCCAGGGCTCTGCGTGCACAAGGAATGCTTCTTCGGTAGATGAACAACTTCTCCCGGAATTCCCTCCCTTTACCAGGCGTCCCACCGCAGACGGGCACAGGGACCCTGATGCTCTTCCTGTCTGACGTCAATGACAACGCCCCAACTCTCCAGCCCGGCTCTCGTGACGTGGAGGTGTGTGAGTCTTCGGGGAACGAGCCCCTCCGCATCGAGGCAGACGATCCGGACCTGGAGCCCTACTCTGACCCGTTTACATTCGAGCTGGATGACACCGTGGGAAACGCAGAGGACATGTGGAGATTGGGGAAAAATTGGGGTGAGTGTGCCGGCCAGGGGTAAAGGGTTGGGAAATGACAGAGACCCAATTCAGATGGGCTCAGGCAAAAAAGGAATTTCCTAGCTTACTTGCATGAATAATTGAGAACATTTCAGGTAAACCTGCGTTCTGGCAGAGCTGGCTCTAGGTTCACAGAGGACACCCTGGAGGTCCCCTTTCCACCCCTCGGCCCTGCCTTTGCCTGGGCTCCTTCCTTGTCAGGAAGCTGTCCTTGCAGAGCAGCAGTGGCTGCTGGGAGTCCCCGGGACACATCCTGGCACCTGGCAAGGAGGGCAGGCGCTTCCAGGGAAAGCTCCGGGACGGGTATCACTGCTTGGCTTGGGTCACCTGCCCTGCCAACCCTTATGGCCGGGACTCGGGAGGGCACACATGCTGGCTGGCTCCCAGCCCACACCTGGACATTGTTAAGGTCGGGGCTGAGCCCTCCTGATCCACATGGGCTGCGAGTTTGGGAAGGGCGGGCTCCTCCAAAGTGTTGTCAGAGGAGGACCGGAGGCCGAGTGGGGTGAAAGCAGCCGGCGACCACTGTCAGCCAGCATTCTCCTTGGTGCTTCTGTTGGCGGGGTCTGTGGAGTGCGGCACCTTTTCAGCTGGAACTGTGTGCTCATGTTGTAGTTCCAAGCATTTCACCTGGCCCTGAAGGAGGTCTGGTCGTTGTTCTTGGTTTCCAGCAGGATGTAGGGGGATCTCTAAGCCCCGGGATGACATGGCTGATACAAGAGCCTGTTTGCCTGGGTGTCTGGGACTGAGCCACATAGGGACTGTGTGATTAGGGTGGGGACTTTTGGTCACACAGTAGCAGGGGACCACTGGAGAGGCTGGAGCCTGAGGTCAACCACGTGGAAGGCCAACCGGGTTTCCTGACCCAGCCTCAGTAAGGGCCCTGGACCCCGAGGCTAAAGTGAGCTCCCCCAGGACACATACTGCATATGTGCTGTCACTCATGTTCTCCCTCCGGGCTTCCTGGGGAGAGGGTGACGGGAAGCTCTGTGTTCGGAAATCTTCCGGAATCTGCCCTGTGTGCTGCTTCCCTGGCCTGATTTTCAACTGAACCCTTTCCCTGTAGCAAACCGGAACCGCTGGTATGACAGCTTTCAGTGAGTCCTATGCCTGCTTCCGAAGCATCCCTGAGCCTGTGGGCAGTCCTGGGAACCCCTGAACTCGCGGCTGGCGTCAGAAGTGAGGGTGGTCTTGGGTCTGTCCCTCTAACCTTGCAGTTGGCTGACTTCGCACGGAGCCTCGGCCCACGCAGGGCGCTTAGTAAGTGCCCGTTGAGCAGATGAACAGATAAATGAGTTTGACGTGTGAATTCCTTTTCCCCTTGCAGGTCGGTCAGTTGAACTTTTCATGTCGAGAAGCCTCCCGCGTGGTGACTACTTGGTGCCGCTCGTCATTGCGGACAGACAGGGGGTCTCCCAGAAGCAGACCGTCCACGTGAGGATCTGCTCCTGCCCCAGTGGGATCATGTGTGCCGAACTCTCTCACGCAGGAGCGGAGCTCGTGAGGGCCCTGGCCCCAGTCTGTGCGGCATTCTCGGCCCTGGCAGGTCAGCGGTGGGTAGGGGCTGTCCTGGGACTGTGGCTCCTTTCCCCAGGCGTAGGCCAGGGTCATGGTGTTTGCTGGGGTCGGGGGGTGGGGGGCGATGCCAGGATTGGTGGGAGGGCTTTGAGCATGACCTCTGGGTGCCCTTGGGCCCCTACACTCAGATCACGTGTGGCCACCTGGCCAGACACGATCGCCGGCTGGCAAAAGCACGTCTACTCAATAAGCAGTAATTTGTACAGCGGAACCCATAGATGGGAATAGCCAAAGGGTGGCCCTGGGTTTGTAACAACCCCCGGGGACGGCAATGTATGGATGTCTAGGCTCCTGGGCTTGGCGAGACTAATAAGGAAGCTAGTTTTTCCAAGAAATAGTATAATATTACTGGCCAGGTAGAATTAATTAATTCAACAAACAATTATCCAGCACCTACTCGTGCCCCCGAACTATGCAAAACTCTGCAGCGACACAGGTGGCTAAGACACAGTTTGGCCTTGTCCGTTGCTGGTGAAGCTATGACTTCACAGAACGTGATCTTCTTGCAGCGTCTGCTGTGGGCGGGCTGGTCAATTCATCCCCCTTTGTCTTATCACAGTGGCTCTGCTGTTACTGCTGCGATGCTACTTTGCATTTCAACCCAGGAGGCGCAGATGCTCTCTGGACAGTGACACAGGCCAGCAGACCCTGATTGTGTATAACGACGAGAGCAAAGCCCCCTTGGCCCAGGTAGCGGTACGCAGTGCTCCTGTCTTGCAGCAATGAAGTCAGTAACACACGGCATACAGCACGTACTTCCTCACCCTTGCACCACCCCCCTTATTTCTTTACTCTAACTCGTATTTGAGTAACAAGTCAGAAAAGGATTCCTGCAAAAATTGTCCAACTCAACTAAATGGATTTATTGTTTCGGATCAGTGGTTCTCAACCATGGGCAATTTTGCCCTCTAGGGGGTATTTGGCAATGCCTGGAGACAATTTTGATTGTCACGGTTGGGGATGCCACTGGCATCTAGTGGGTTGAGACCGGGGCTGCTACCGCACACCCTACAACACACAAGACAGCCACAGAGATTTATCTGGCCCGTTGTCAAAAGTGCTGGGGTTGAGAAACCCGGCTCAGGGGAGCGGTGATTTTTGCCGGGTGGAGGTTCACTAGATGGAATTGTGTTCTGCTCTCAGTTAAATGAGTCTGAGCTGGCTTCTGGCCCTGGCCTGGGGTAGAGCCTGGCAGAGCCCCCTCTGCCACCCTTGTCTGGCAGAGCCGGTGGGAAGCTGCTCACTGCTCTCGCAGGTGCAAGGCCTGCGTTCCGTTTCTGCCTTTGCACTTTTTTGGCTTCGTCAGGTGGAGCAAGTCATTTGACCCCACAGCCTCATCTGTGAACTGGATGATAAAGTCAACCCCGCAGCCAGACTGTGGGTCACAGATGGTGCCATAGCATCACTTACCTGGACTGACCGACCACACAGAGTAAGGGGCCATGACCGCTGGTTCCTTAAACCTGCAGCTTCTGGGAAAGCCCGGCTTCATCTCAGCCGTCCCCGCAGCAGCCGGGCTGGGGAGAGGGGCGATGAGATGAGAGCCTGGTGAGCTCTCCTGTCCGTCTCCACCTGAACTGACAGTGGTGGATCTGAGAAATGAAAGCAAAGCAAAGGGCAAAAGGAAACAGGTCTTCCGCACACGGAGGATTCGGGTCACCCCATTTTACACCTCCGCCGTCGGTTTTGTCCTGGAAGGAAGAGACGTGTTAGAGCAGGACGCTTTAGGGGAAAGCGTCCAATTACCTTTGTTGTTCTGCTCAGGTAAACCGAGACTCTAAAGTGTATTCGGTGCTTGAAGAAGCTGGTGCTCCAGTGTGACTCCTAGGGTTCTGCCCACTTTTGTCTCCCCTGCTGGTGAGAAGGCGGGAGGGAGGTAGCAGCCTCGGACCTGCTGTGTCACGCTCCGCAAGCTCTGGCTCGGGTTGCAGCCAGCACGGGAGAGGCTGGGGTGCCCTGGCTGCCTTCCCCGTGGGCAGGCGGGCAGCCGTCTCTGGGAAAGAGAAAGACGCCCCAGAAGCAGCGTGGGGAGGAAGGGGCCTTGGGCATTGCGGGGCTGAGACCGGGAGGCTGGAGGGGACGAGACAGCACTGGGCACAGACCAGCGGCGTCAGAGGGACAAGAGCCTCGCCCAGGGCAAGGGCATCTATCTGTTCTCTTCCTGATCCCAAACATCCTCCCCTGGTGTCGCCCGCCCACAGCAAGGGGCATGTCTCCTTTCCCGCCCTGAGAACCGGGATCTGCAAAACCTGTGTTTAGAGTCCAAACCTGTGATCATCTGTTACAGCATCCAATGGGCCCTTGGCTTTCATATATAAAGTCAGATTGATAGCGTTCTCTCTCTTAGGTTTATTGGACGGTTTAATCAAATAGCGCACGTAAGGTCCTGAGCACAGGGCAGGTCACTCATGCAATACACGGTGGCTGCCAGTGCTGGCATCACTAGCAGCGGTCACTAATTATGTCTCTGTAACTATTAGCAAGTAAGGCCGCCTCACGGTACGCACGCTTGACCTGTCTAAACGTCTTACCTGAATATCCCAGCCCACACATGCATATCCCCTCACCAGGGACGTTCTCTGCTCTTGGGAAGGTGCCACCACTGGTTCCACCCACATTGTCACATTCCGCCACCTGATGGAGGTGACCTAGGGACTGCATAGACGCCTCCCGTATGTGGGAAGCTTGTGAGCTGTTGGCCAACACACATCCAGCACCCCTGAACACCTGGGTCCCTCGGTTGAGTGAGAAATGAACGAGACAATGCACAGAGCACCTCACAACAGCGGCGACCCCAAGAGCCACCACCACGAGCCTTAGCAGAAGACAAGCTTTTAGATTCTGAGGCCTCCTGACTCGAGAGTCTCTGACTATCCCCTTACACGAAACACTGAGCACGAGAGACGCAGCCTCCCAACCGGCAACTACTAAGGACAAACAGATGACGTCCTCTCTCCAAACACGCCGCCCAGGTGTACAGGATGGGTGCCTGTCGCAGTCTGGGTTTCTCCTGCAGTGTCGTGGACTCAGTGTGTTTGGGGGAAACAGCGTCCCTGGCTTTCCGGTTTCACTTCCGCCTTCCGTAATTTCAGCCGGTCGCCCTTCCTTCCCCGTGTTCCGCAGACGCAGTCAGACGTCCGGGGCCAGATGCGGGCTCCGCCGACACACACGGCCGTGGCGGGAGCCCGGCTGAGCGCTAAGGTAACACGCCACTTATGTGCTCCTTGACTTTATACAGGGGGGGGACTTTGCTGCTGGTTTCCACGGCAGGGAACACCCTGCACGCCCCTCCCACCCCCACATCCAGGGAGGTCCCTCTGCAGGTCCCTTGCCAGCCCAGCCCCCCGCCCGCAAAGCCCCGCGGTGCCCTCGTCCGGACGCCCCCTCGCCTCTCAGCGGCAGAGCTCCTTCCCCTCTGCCGCGGGGCCGGCAGAGACTCGGAGCTTCAAAGCCGTCTGTCCGGTGACCCCTCCAGGCCTCTTTTGCCATCTGCGACGCCACTTGCACTGGTGCGTTTTATAAACTATTTTTGTTTAGGTGGACTTGTGTCCAAATGAAGCACATTTATTCACATAGGATATTTTATATTTTAAATATAAATGAAAACAAGTTTTACTTCTATAAGGAGCAGGCAAGTGTGAAAACAGACACAGAAGCAATGCGACGCAATAGCTCCAGGTGGGTGGCGTTGCCTGCCAAAGGGTCAGGACCTCTCTGGGAAAGGCAGGGCTGTGGAAGCCACGAGAGCAGGAGCGACACTTTCTCCTAGACGTCCTGAGAGTGTGGAAAAGGAATTAGAGGGGGAATAATTTTCTCACCATGCAATTCAATGTCATTGAAAACCCTGCTGCCCAACTGGCTAAATCTTCCCTTTCCTAAGTGGTGGGCGTGCCCCACTTTGGACACAGAAAGTTAATCCAGGACTGCAGAAAATGACTGAGCAGGCTGCAGGCCAGGGCGGGCGCGGGGCAGGGCCCTGAGTATTTGCTCACTAACTCTTGCCCCGGGGAGGAGTCGCTGCAAAGACGTCTCCCGGCTGACGGAGCCCTCTCTGTCCTCCTCTTACCCAGCCTGTGAGCTTCTGGAGGCCAGAGGGGCCGCCCTGAGGAGCAGGCCGTGCACTTTGCACCCACGACCCCGTGGAGTTCCCACCAGAACCCGCAGGCGTGGGGGCAGTCGTCCCTGTTTTACAGAGCAGGAAACCAAGGCCCACCGGCTTCTTTTTCTCAGAGAATCCAGTCTTTGGATTCTCTCTGCAGAGTCCTGCGAATGTGAGAACATCTATGGCGACTGGTTAAATGAACCGCCACTCACACGCTTTCCCTGAGTGGTCACATATGACTTACCGGGTAAATTGGTATTTTAAAACCTGCTGCAAACATGGAAATATCTTCCATGAAACCATTGCCAAGGTCCATTGCCTATCTTATTTTCTTTGAAACTTTACTCCATCATGGAAGAGTCTCTGTTAGAATAATAGAAACCCAAAGCAAAAATCGCCCACAGTCCCGTCCCTGAATCTAAGCCGTTTTACTTGTGAGTGTCGCCTTGCAGATCTTGTCTTCGTGTCTGCTCGGTTTCCGGCACCTGCGTCTCATGCAGACTGTGGGAGCCTGCACGTCCGCGTCGTCACACCCGGCCACACCGTCCGTCCCACCGTGCTCCGCCGGTTTTCCTCGCGTCTCCCCACCTTTCCTTCCCGACTCCCACTCTCCCTCCCTCTCACCGGGCTAGCTTTTAATTGCCTGTGAGTCCCGGCGCAGGGGCAGGTGTGGAAGGTCACACGGCCCGCTCCTTTCTCGGCTGGTGGGAAATAAACGCATCTCTCGAGAGCAAGCCCTCGTTTCTCCCCTAGGGTCTCAGTGACCTGCCGCCTCCGTCGCCAGGGGCTCCGTCAGACCGAGTGCGCCTCGCTCTGGGGACTCCGGTGAGTTGCGGGTGGTCGGTCACTCCCTGCTGCCGTCCTGTCACTAGTGACTGACAGCCGGTTCCCTCGAGAGGGCCCTTCTGGAAGATTCTGCAATACTGTTAGAAGGAACACATAGTCAACGGCAATCTGAGAAGTGGGGCTTTTCCAATCAACCATCTTTCCATCTGTCCAACTAGCTATTATTAGTATTATGACGGTTGGTGGCTGCTGTATTAAGAGTTTTTGTTTGATAGCCCTGGTCGAATAGACACGTCTAGAATACCCACAGTTAGATGTTTCTGCTCGTGCCCATCTAAGGGCGCCAGAGACGATCTATAAGGTCGAGAGCACGTGACTTTGACGCTCACCAAACTCCCGCTGAGGGATTTCGTAGTCCCTGATAAATGGAGCCCCAAATTGCCCACTCTGCCTATAGATTCTAGAACTATGGCTTTGCTGTCTGAAATGATTTTTCTGAAGTAATTTTAGACTCACAGAAGTTGCAAAATAGCATGGAGAGTTCCCGTGGACCCTGCCCCAGTCCCCCCAGGATAATGTCTCACAAAACCTTGCCGTATTAGCAAAACCAGAAAAGCGACTGTGGCGTAACACTGTCAATGCAGGTATCAAACACAGACCTCTCTTGGACTTCACCAGTTTAACTGGCTATGATTTTAACAAAAATGTACTTTTCAGATGTAGAATTAAAAGAGGTCACAGTCCAAAGAGCCTTGGTATCACATTCAACTTTTAGGAGGGAAAACTCTAAATATGAATTTGAGATCTCTGTAAATGTGTGTCTTTGCTCAGGCTGCATCAGAGCAAAAATGTGCTGTCGTCTGCACAGAGATGATCCCACAGACCCGCCACTGAAGGGCTTGTGCATGGGTGGGCACGGCCCTCTGGCCCTGGCAGGACCAGCTGCAGGGACGGAGGACCGGTGCCGTGCCACAGGCCCCGTGCTCGGATAGGCCCGTGCCTCGTTCGATGTTCCCCTGTTACTAGCTTGAAATTCTTAATTTTTGAACAAGGGGCCCCGTATTTTCTTCTTGCACCGGGCCCTGAAAGTTACGTAGCTGGGTCTGGGTCTTAGGGGTGGATGTGTGTCACTCACACCTGTTGCAGTCATGGTCACGGCAGAAAGGAAGTCTTGCCGGGCACTTGGGGACCCAAGGCAGAGGTTGTAAATCCAATATTCCCATGCTCCCTCTCCACAAATCAACTATGTAATATAAAACCCGTACACGGGTTTCTGCCGTGTATGCCTACGCTGCTCTCATTAGAACGGCGATACCTTTGATACAGAAATGAAAAGCAATATGACTGTGACAATTTCTAGTCATGTATTTGCATCCTTTGGCATTTTATATGAAACCGACAAACACTTCATCCTTCTTAAATTTAAGGGTTGTGTCGTGCTCTTTGAGCCAAGAGGAGTGGAAAACAAACACTCTACTCCCGTAAGTATAGATGTAGATGTTACCATGAAGAGAATTACCTTATTGTCCTGTCTAATAGCTGCAGAAAGCCCTGAAAACTGGAAATTTGGCAGGGAAGAGGTGTAGTGTAAAATAGGCCCCCAATCCAAACAAACTAACGGAGGAGTGAACATGGAACAGATTAGAAGTGGCTAAGGCTCAGCTCTCTGGAGACTTGGAGGTGTGGGAGTTCTTCCGTCCCCGGCAAATTCCTCCTGTGCCTCAGTTGCTGAGAGCTGGGTCAGAGGCTGCGTGTCTTCTGCTTTGCCCCTTTGCAGACGTGCAGAAGTGTGGAGCTAAGCAGGTCTGAGACATCGTCTAGTCCATTTTTTTTCCCTAAATATTTTTAGCAGTAGAATTCTTCTTTTCAGATGAGTTCCTACAAAGAAGTCTATTGCCAGTAAAACAGGTAACAGTGGCTTTTTCCTACTACCTGTTTTGTTTGCATTGACATTCATAACATATACCTATTACCAAAATAGCCAACAAAAATAGTGATTCTGATGAAAATGAAAAAAAAAAAAGGATGTTATCTTAGCACCTAAATTTGTTGCCTCACATTTTCAACTTGGTTTTTCAAGTATCAAGAAAATTTTGATGTGCACCGACAAGAAATTCCAAATGGTAACAGTTTTCAAGTAGTACAATTTATGATGTTAGGATTCTCTTTGGTTAATCAAACATGGGGCAAAAGGCTTCATCCACATTTCATAAAAGCAAGTTAACGCAGCATCGCAATGAACACATTGGGGTAGGGGGGCTCAAAAGGATGTATACCATTTTTATTATATCATAAAAATAATATTATTGAAATAATTTGTAAATAATTAAAATAAAGTTCAGATACTCTTGCTGAAGTATCTTTGAGGGGTCGTAGGAGATGTAGTCTGACACCAGCGGCCGTGTCCAGAGAGGCCAGAGAGGGGCCGGGACGCTCTCTCAGCCACGCCGGAGCCACGTGTAGCGTGGAGTGAGGACTTAAAGTTGGCTCCAGGCAAAACTGGCCCCGAGGCTGCCTCGGGACGGGGCCAGGCTGGAGACAGACATGCGTCTTCCTCCAGCCCGGCACGAGCCACCTGCTGACCAGGGAGCGTCGGGTGAGGGACCTGGTGGCGCAGAGTCCGGGTCTGCAGCGTTTCCTCCGAGAGGCGCACGGGGGTGGGGTGGGGGAAGGGACAGGGCTCCTCAGCGGTGCGAGGGTTCTACTGGTTTGCTTTGCAGGTCTACCCGGGTGGCGCGGTGCCCGGGCGACGGCTGGCCCCGGTGGGAGGAAGGATCGCAGAGATGCTGCGTCAGGTAGGGAGGGCGCCCCCCCCATCCTGTGCGTGGGCGGCTGGTTCTGGGTCCCCACGGCCCCAGGCTTGACCGGGGACTCTTCCTCCTAAATCACTGTGCTAGCTCAGGCTGCCACAACAAAATACTATCGACTGGGTGACTTACAAAACAGAAATCCATTGCCTCGCAGATCTGGAGGCTGGAAGTCCCAGATCAGGGCCAGGTTCCGGTGAGGGCCCTCTTTCTGGCTCGCAGACGGCCGCCTTCTTGCTGTGTCTTCACGTGGCGGGGAGAGAGAGACAGACCAAGCTCTCGGGTGTCTCTCCTTGTTAGGACACGGATCCCATCATGAGGACCGCACATTGACGGCCATATCTAAACCTAGTTATCTCCCGAAGGCCCCATCTCCAAATACCCATCACATTAGGGTTAGGGCTTCAACACGTGAATTTGGGGTTCAGGGGAGGTCGCAGTTCGGTCCATAACAATCACATTCGTGGGAATCCTCCTTCTAGGGCTGCTCTGCAGAGCCCAACTCAGGGGTCTTTTTCTGCAAAGTAGTGAAAGATGTGGTCGGACTGTGCAGAAGGGGCTTATCGGGCAAGACTTTGGTGCCAGACGTATCCTGGAAGGTTCCTCAGCGTGGCCACCGGGTTTGCGTGGCCAGAGCTGGGCAAACCCATGGGCAGGTTTATGGAAGGAGCCAAGCGGGTCCCCACGCTGGAGTGTCAGAGGCTCTGCGTGTCCCCACGCAGAGGGAGGGACGCACAGAGAAGCGGCACCGGCGGTGTGAGCCTAAGGAGCCACATGAGTTGTAGGAAGCTGGGACTCAGACCCATGAAATAATAAGCATGGAAGGAATGTGTAATGGGGCAGTCTCTGTCCGACGAGACCTTCTGCTTGGCAAACACACGCACAACACTCACTTCGTTCCAGACTTTGTTCTGAGTGCTTGACAGACATTAACTCTCAGTCCTCACATCAACCCGCTGGGGCAGGTACTGTCATACCCCTTTTTGTAAAATGAGAAAACCCAGGAGCAAAGACCTCAGGTCACCTGTCCAAGGTCACAGCTGTGGAAAGTGCTAGATGTGGGGCTCAGACGCAGGCAGTTAAGTCCCAGGGCCTGGGCACTCGAGGGCTCTTTGCAAAGCCGTCGGCCCAGGCTCAGCTCTGTGGCCCCCCCATTAGTGGCCTGGGGTGCTCATCAGAGCCTCTGATTTGGGGTCATGGGACCCTGACCTGCGGACGTGCCTGGGTGTCCCCTGCTCTGGCTGTCAGAGTAGACGACAGGACAGACAGGTCCACAGGCACTGTGGCCTGGGAGGGGAGCCCAGACAGTGTCAGGGTGTGGAGTCACCGCCTGGGATCCCCCCAGTGTCAGCTCCCCCTGGATGCCATCGCAGTCCCCAGGGTGGGAGCTCCAGCTCCACACCTCAGTGACAGCCCTGGCTGTCCAGAGTCCTGCAGAATGGCTGATGCCTCATGGCTGCTGTGAGACACACAAATGTTCTCTCCAAGACCAGAGGCTGCCCGAGAGCCAGACTCGCCAGGCTCCCGGGGAGGGGCTGTGCGCCCATGGGTGGGGCTGCAGGATGCTGGTCCACCAGGCCCCGGTCGCTGGTGAGGAAGGCAAGGAGGGAGCCGCAGGGACGGATCTGTCCGTGCATCTGTCCCTGAGCAGACAGCAACCTGCGTGAGGGCAGGCCTGTGTCGTTACTGGTGCACGACACACGGTCACTGAAGCAGGAGTGGATGCAAGAGCCTTTCTTCACTGCAGCCTGAGGAGGTTACAGATCCGGAAAGGGAGGCTCGCAGAGGTGCCCCAAGTGGGAAAGCTGGTGGGGGAGGGGGCAGAGCCGGAGCTGGGGCGCAGGTTGGCCGATTCCAGGCCGGCCCACCTGATCAGTGAGCGATACTAGGGAAGTCTCTTCTCTCCGGGCCTTAAATTTCCACCTATGAAGTAGGGAAGGGACAGTCCACTGCATTCTCAGGGATGACGTTGTGCACACGTGAGACCACGTGGCTACATACAGGACATGGCGGTCCTGACGTAGTGTCTGGCTCACTCGTCACGCGTGCACACGCAGAACTCCTGCCAAGTAGAGCGCGTGGACGGGGTGCAGGTCCCATCCAGGGGGCAGCAGGGGAAGGCTGCGTGGTGGCCGAGGATCCCCCCACCCCGCCCTGTGCCAGGCAGGAGCTTTACTCAGGGAGAGCTCCGAGCTCTGCGCTTGGTGGTGTGAGAGGAGGAAAAACCGGATTAGAAGGCGCAGCTCTTTCCCCGAGAGCCTGCTGGCCTGGCTGGCGGTTTCTGATGAATTATTGATCTTATGCAGCTTCTGCTGGATCATGGCACAGAAACCCGCTGCTCTGCCGTCGGCCTGGGGCGGGGCGAGGTTGGGTCCTGGCAGCCCAGACCCGCTGCAGAGTCTACGAGGCTCTGCACACGCCAGGCCTGTCGTGAGTTGCCCAGTCGGCTTCTCTGCAGGACGTGCCAGGACTCCCAGTGCCCTGGCCGGGGCTGCGTTTTCACTTATTAGCTGGGAAGAGCCTCCCTTGCTCCCCAGCCCAGCACCCCATGCCATGTGGTCACGGGGTCATATGGTGACTGCAGACCCAGGCAGTAAGTAGGTGCACAGGTGCGTGGTCCTACCCTGACCTGTGGGCACCAAGCCTGACGTGTCATGGGCACAGGGCTGGGACACGCTGTTTGCCGCTAAACGGAGGGCCCAGGAAGGGCCCCTTCTGCGGCCTGGGGCCAGGTGGACACGGTTGCTGCTAGACCCAATGGAGGAGGCTGGGGGCTGGGGAGCCGAGTGGTCCCCTCTCAGTGGGGACAGGCATGGAGTCTCGGGGACCCCTTGGCTGCACTTCCCAGGCCTCCCCCACCTCCCACTTGGGGTTCTGAGCCCTCAGATCCCGACTGTCTTCGCGCTCCACGTGAGTCCCTGCCCAGGAATCCAGGCAGCTAGTGACAGGTTAGAGGGTCCCACCAAACCCACTCCCGCCAAGGCTGGTAGAACTGGGGTCAGAATCACACCCTCAGGGATGTTAGAAGGGAAACAGGCCAACGCTGCCCTCCCTTCCTTCCTGCCTTCCACCAACACACTGAGTCGCTCCGGACAGGAAAATGCAGAAAAGTCTTCCTCGAGGCACCTTGGGCCCTGAACGATGAGCTGGAGTTTGCCGAGTGGAGTGGAGGTTGGCAGGTGGGGCCGGTCATTCACGGAGAAGGGGACAGCAGGTGCAGCGGCCAGGAGGACAGTCTGGAGGGGACGTGCAGACATGAGGGCAGGAAGACGGCCCTGCAGGTGGCAGGGTCCGCACCCTGTGGGGCTGGAGTGTGACTGGGCAGGCGGGGAGATGCGGGAACAGACCTGAGGCCCAGAAAGTGTCTCCGGTGCTTGTGCGCAGGGTGGGCGAGAGGCAGGAGGGGGCGGGGAGAGGCGGGGAGGGGGGAGAAGTCATAACCCGGCATGACAGTGGCTCCCGTCTCTGTGACGTCACGGTTCAGGTGGGTGTCCGGGAGCCTTCCAAGCGGGAGGCAGCGCCGGGCTCGGTCCGCCTCGTGGCTCTGCCACCGTTAGAACCTGGAGACGTGGCTGGAGGATGGCAAGGAGAGAGCAGAGGCTCTCGGGGAGGCCGACAGGCTGGGTCAGTGGCCGGACGTTCACTGTTCTTCAGCTGTGCTCGGTCATGTGACACTCATGACTGACAGACGGGAGAGGGGACCCTGCCGGGTGCCCAGGAAAAGCAAGAAGTGAGTTTGGTTAACTCCTGGCCACTCTCCACCCCACGCTGGAGATAAGGACTTGACCTAAGGCGTTGGCCGCGGGGCTGGAGAAGAGGGGACTGGGAGGTGACCGCAGGGCTGGGCGGTCCCGGCAGGGCAGCTTTGCCTCTGCAGCAGGAGGGCCACGTCCGGGCTGTGTTCCCATGGAACTTGCAGCAGGGGTGCTGGCTGGACTGGCCCCCCCGGCTGTCACAGGGTCTGCACACTGCCCTGCAGGACACTGAGGGAGGGGAGGCGGAAGGAGGGGAAGCAGGTTGCGGGGAGAATGAGGATTTTCAAGGATGTTGAGTCTGAGGTCCCTGTGCACGTCCTTGTGGAGCTGCCCAATGGTCAGCTGGAATTCGGGCTCTGGATGTGACCGCCGAGAGTGTCCTAGGTGGTGACGGTGATTGGGACATCGTCACTGGTTAGGGGACAGGTGAAGCCATGGCTGGAGCATTCGCCTGGGAAACCAGAGAGCAGTGGTTTGGGGAGCGATGGGGGTGGAAGGGTGCGAGAGTGGTGACCACCCCTCCTCGGAAGGAAGCCATGACGTGCCAGCAGAGTTGACGCAGAAAGGAGGGGACAGTTGTCCCAAAGGAGGATCCAGGGGGAGTCCCAGGCTGGGAGGTGTCCAGGGCACAGGAGGGCAGGGGGACCCCAAAGAGTGGGTCTGCCAGAGGGCGGAGGAGGCGGGACGCCTGCCCTACACCTGGGATGGCTACCACCCAAGCCATCACAGTCCCTTCCCAGAGATTAGCTGGAGATGGACGGGGGTCTCTTCCTCCCCGGCCCGAGTCCCGTCTCCGAGTCTGTAGACCCGCCTGTGACGGCCGGGCGTGGGGTCCCGCCACGGAGGGCAAGTCCTCGGATCACACCCAGGGAAAGCTGAGTCGGAGCCCGCGCTGACCTTCCCTCTCCCGCCTCCCCGCAGAAGCTCCGCGGAGTGGACGCGCGGGAGGACGACGCGGACTGCCAGCCTCGCGCCTACCTGGAGGAGGGGAGGAGCGCGGGAGCCCCGTCCCTCAGCTCCCTGGCCGTCTCGGAGCAGGGGCTGCCGCCCGACCTGCTGGACGGCTTGGGGTGGAAAGCTGCCGCGCTTGCAGACACGTATGCAGAGCGAGGCGTCTCTTCCTCAGACGGTGCCTATTTCGGAGAGCTGGCGCCATTCGCGGAGGGCCGTCGCTAGCCACTCTTCTGGGATTTTTTTTTTTTCTTTTCTGCCTGTGTTCTTATTTTTAATGACTTCCCAGTCCTAGGATGAGGACGAACGATTAGTCCGGTTTAAATGCTTTGATATTCTCGGGCCGGCCGTCTTGAGCCAAAGCAGAACAGCAGGTGATACTTCAGTAAAATTTGACTGGCCGGATTTTCGGAACAAATTTGAATTTAGTTGGATTATCCTTTGCTTCCCTTAGCAGCCCAGCTCTGAGGGTGGATGAGTGTAATCTGTAGACTTCCCGGCTCTCTGGCAACGCAGGGAAATGTAAAAAATGGATTTAAAAGGTTATTTACTTTCCCCAAATTATGATTCTGCTTCAGTGGAAGTGAAAAAAAAAATGGCGAATAGGGAAATGTTTTCTAGAACATTCATAATCAGTATTTTTAGTGATCTTTTTTTTAAAAAAAATACTGGTCCCTTTTCACTTTTGGATTAGATAGATAAAATATGTTCTCTCAAGGGAAATGATTATGTTTAGAACATTATAAGCAGTCCATGCTTTCTTTAAAAAAGGAGGAATAGACATAATTTAACTTGTATTATGTAAGTAAAAGAATTTAGGAGACTTTGAATGAATATGTTCTGATTACATTTTTATCTTATGCAAAACCGCAAACCGTAATTGGTTTTTCCTTGTCCACTTACTGCCAGTGTGAGTTGCAAGGGATGGTCTTTTTTTAAAGTCTTAAAATTTTTTCTATAGTAGGACGTGTGCCCCATAAGTAGTTTTCTTGTTTGAATAATAGATAAGAGTGAGTCTGACTAAGCAAAGTTTAAAATGCTACCAGGACCCTTTAATGTGTATGTTGGATATCTGAAAGTTTACGGCCAAATCTAAAAACTTTTACGTAATTAGCCAGCATTCTCTTCTCTGGCGGTCCTCTCTTGTGCCTGAGGATTAATCAAGAGAAACACGTTTGCTGTTGTTACATATCAACGGGGAGTTTCAGCCGGAGTTAGAACTTTCCCCTTCTTTCTGAAGAAGCTGTACAAATACCTACTTTCGGATATTGACTGTATGTAGTTACTTCATTCATTCTCTAGCGCTCTGGGCCAACTAACCGATAAAGAAGAAAACCCGCATCTAGAGCATCAGAGTATCTGAATCTGACACATGAGTGTGTAGAACAGCTGTGCTCATACTGGCATGGTTCAGAGCAGAGTCTAAGACTTTTTCTGGGTAATTCAGGATAAAAGTAATGTTTTAGAAAAATATACTCCTAAGTCGGAATTCTTGGCAGAGGCCAGTTTGGTGGTTATTAGACCTTCCAGATTGGCCTTATCACCATGGGCAGATCTTGCCCACTGTCTGTACTTATAAATAAAGTTTTATTGGCACTCGGCCTTGCTCATTAGCTTAGGTATTGCCTATGGCTGCGTTGGTGCTGCAGCAGCAGAGCTGGGCAGTCCCAGCAGAGACTGCATGGCCCACGCTTTACAGAAAAAGTGTGGTCAACCTCTTCCTGAAGGCATTCTTTTTGGGAACTCCACATCCTGTCAAACATTAAGATGTAGCCATACCCTGCGTTAAACACAAACACATTGCCATGTGCATTTTGAAAGGTTTTAAGTAAGTTTGCTTCTGACTATGATAACTCATTGAACTTACTACTGGCTGTGAAACCTTGGCAGTTATTGTGCTTGTTTGAGAATTCTTGCATTATGAGACACTCTCCAACAAATTTTTTAAAAAGTAATAAAATACTTGTGAAATATTCATAAACACCAAATTTAACAATTAAGGAGAAGAACAAAATGTTGTATTTTGTAGCTATTTAATTAGACATTTATTAATTTTGATTTTGGGGGAGGTTTTATGATTATATTTGAAAGCCAGTAATTTTTATTTTTTTCAGATCTTGACCATTTTAATAGGCCTCAGGCTTTGGGGTTATAGCGTCCATAACCCTATACATAACCCTGTAAATGGAAAAAATGTCTGTATTGGCATCTTCATGAAGTATATGATACTTCAGCCTGTCCCTTTAGATGCAAGTTTACATCACACATTATCACCTTCTCCAACGAACATCTGCAGGAAACATTCCTGGATATTGGCTGGTTCCCCCGACAAGTTCTTTCTCAAGTCTCTATATGTGCTTTAAAAAGGTTTCCACTGAAAACGTCAGCACTAGGAGGTTTTGGTGACACTTGCTAGCCTCCAGTGGAATTAACACATACTCATGAATTAAGCCAGTTCTTGCTAATGGCAATGAAGGGGTGATAAAACAGACACAGTAAATATTTCCAGGGAAAATGTGATTTTATTAAGAACATTAACCTCTAAATTACTTAGCGATCCAAAGATCGCTTCAGTCTCAGAAGTTAAATATTTACTTTGCATTTCATCAATTTTGGTTTTCATGTGCAGTAACAATCTCGTTGGTTTTATAGAGCTTTTCATCCGAGATGTTTGTCTTGCTTACTTTTATGATTTACTGAACAGAAGACATCTCGTTTGTTAAACTTTCCTTTTCCCGAGTGAAACGCTGACCGGGGAGACCTCGTTTCATGTCCTCATGAAGTAGACTAGCAGCTGTCCCCTCCAAGATGACCTGTGGCAGCAGGCAAGGAAATGCAGACGGTGCCAGGTGGGGGACGCTCTGAGACTGTCCCCCGCCATCGGGAACTCTTTCTGTGTGGCAGAGAGTGCAAAGCTTGTCGAGTTTTCGCCTCCTCTGAAATGCATGTGTCCGGGGCCAAACGCATCTGCCATGAAGGAGGAGGAGGAGGATAAGGAATTCTAGAGCTGCAAAAACATAGTCTTGTAACTTTTCCCAACACAGACACACGGGCCCTGGAAATTGATGTGAGAATGAGGCCGCAGAGAGTGCTGATTGCTCTAATATGAGTTACCTTCTCGTCCTCCGTAAAAGAACCCTGACTTTTTGCTGTGCACAGGTGGCCCCAAATGGGAGTGACGTTTCCCATCCTCCGTGGCAGCTGGGTAAGGCCGTGTGTCTAAATTCTGGCAACGTCCTGGAAGTGTCCCGGAAGTGTCCTCGAAGCGTGGAGATGTGTCCATCTTCTCCCCCTCTTCTCCAGGGCATGAGGATGTGACGGCCAGAGCTGGGGCAGCCATCCTGCGTGTTACCATCAGAGCCGATACATGGTGTGGCAACAGGGTAGAAGGGACAGTGGTCCCTGACACCACAGACCTCCACTCCATCCCTGGACCACCTTACTCTAGGTGCAAAACAGGGGAGGATTAAATGTGGCCGAATCTAATCTTACACAAAACACAGGACCAAAGGGAGTGAGCTACAAGTAGCAGGACTTAAGCATGTGGCATCGGCTTAATGGATGTGTTCAGGTGGCAGAGACTCAAATATTGTGGGCTAGAGAGCCGGCCACCCTTGTTATATAGAAACAAAGCATTTGAAAAAAAGGCCCATGTTGTTTTTTTGAAAAGCGGCCCATGTCCTGAACAAGCATTGAAGTAGGAAATGGCAGGAGAGATTCATAATAGAGAAAAGTACCAGCTGCCTCTCACTGCTCGTAGCAGCCATGCACAAGCGAGAGCTGGACTTGGGCTACTGCTGGCCGGAGCCCGAGCAGGAATGAGAGGGACGGCCGCTGTGCTAATGGAGCCGCTCTCCGCCTGCAGCCTGCGATCCACGCCGACTGAGAGCTCGGTAATTTGGAGCCTTGCAGGGTTGAAAGAAGCACCTGCTGCGTCTCTCAAACTGCATGGGTCACAGGAACAGTTTCTGCAAACAGCGGACTTGGCAGAAAATAAAGCTAGTGCTGCCTGCCGTCCTCCCATTTGGAGCTTTGTGTCACAAGTCATCTTAAGGGTGTGGCCTTTCCAGCCACGCCCGCCCGTTGCCTCTGACGGCTCAAGGTGGGCGCCCTCACGCTGAGAGAGGCGGAGCGGGAACAGCACGGAGGAGGCCCCCGAGGAAGGAAAGGGCCAGAATCTTCAGTGCTATAAACTGCGTCTTTGCAGACAGAGCTCGCTGTTTCGAAACAAGTAGGTCTGAAATCTTTCTGGTTTTGGAAAAACAGTTTTGCCAAAGAAACCACAAGCCTGGTGCACAAAAGGCTGTGAGGATTTAAGCCCGGAGCAGTAGCTGGGAGCACCGGCCTAAAAAGAGCAAGAAGCAATCTGCGGAAACCGTGCAGCCCGGGAAAGCACGCCTCGGATGCCACATGGGGGGCAGCAGGGCAGATGCAGCGGGGAAGAACCCCCAGGATCGCGAGGTCGGGGCTGTGACTCTGAGGCTGCGGAGGGAGGCTCTGCCCTTCCCGCCACTTGGCACCTGCTCGCCCGTCTGGGCGGTGACAGGTGTTTGTCAGCCTCGAGCTCCCGCGTGGGAGTTTTTATTGCCGCTATCTTGTTCTGACTCATCTCCCTCATGTTGGGCGTATGGAGAACAAATAACTTATTATTTAGTTAGTAGGTTGTCAACGCCTGACAGCCTCATCCGAGCCTCCTGCGGGGGCCTGTGCTCCGCCCGGCGTCCTGCACGCTGAGCCGGATGCCAGGAGGGGACGGGGCCTTCCTGGGTTCCGCGTGCGGGAAGGAAGGCACGCACGCCGTCCGCCCTCCCCTCCCGGCATCCCTTCTCTCCTTCTCCTAAGAAACAAAACCTCTGAATTTAGCCAGGCGATGGCTTTCCCAAACAGAAACTGCATTTCCCAGCCTTCCTTGAACTCCATGCGACCTGGTGGCTAAGTTCTGGCCGGCGGGGCTTACGTTGCCGCGGCGGAAGTGGACGTTAGTGCAAGTTCCAAGAAGCGTCCCTTGGAGGGCGGGCCTGCCTTTCTCTGTCCCCACTTCCTCTTCCTGCAGGGCGGTGCAGGTGAGAAAGCAAGTGGACTGAGACGACAGCTGGGAAGGGAGCCGGCCCGCAGGGGAAAAACGTGATGGAAGGAGCTTGAATCCTTTACCCCCGCGGGGCAGAGAGCCCGTGTGACCGCACTCGTATTTCCTGCGGCGGCACGGAGTCCTGTCATTCGTAGCCAAACTCAGCACCAATTAACCCAAGTCATGTGGCCTAAAAAATAAGCCAATATGTAGAAAAACCATTGACATATAAATGTGTGTTATGCTTCAGAGTAATGACCTTGATGAGTTAAATTTGTGCATCGAATGGATTTTTTCCATTATCTTCTAACAAATATTGTGCGAGGAATGGGTTGCACACTGACGCCATGCTGCATTATTGCTTACTATTATTTCTGAAATTCTTCTCAAGAATGGCTGTCACTGCCCTGTGGCACGTCCTTCCAACTATCCCCCCCGTTTTTTGCTCCTGGTCACACAGTGTCATTTGGAGCTTGGCTTTTGTTCCTGGTCATACAGTGTCATTTGGAGCTTGGATTTGGTTTTTGGAAATTGCCAGAAGGCATTCAGGGCCTTGCTGGGTGAGCAGGTGAGCGACCAGCCTCAGTGGTACCAACCGGGCCGGGGGCAGGTGTGCAGAGGAGAGTCGGGGCTCACAGCCTGAGTCCAGGGCGATCCAAAGTGCACCCGTGAAAGGTTTGGACCTTGGGCACCCCTGTTTCAAATGACTGTCAGACGGGCTCAGAGAAGAAATACTGGGCATCGGAGTGAGTGTCTGTCTAGACCGCCGGCCTGGGCCGGCCGGCCGGCCCCCAGCACCTGCCTGCCGAGCGCTCACTCCAGGCTGACGTGTGCTTTTCGCCAAAGCACCTTTAAGCCGCTGCTCGAAGGAGTCTGCAAATAGAATAAGATAAGTAGGAGCTGCTCGCTCCTGATCGCAATGGCCCTGGTGTAGACAGAAGGAGTGTGTCGAATGCTTTCAAACCACTTAAATGAACCTGCATGTGCGAAACACTGTTCCTTTATAAGAAATCTTCAGAGTTAGCATCAGCGGAGCCCTGCGCCAGGCGCCAGGCCACACTGGGACACGCGGCCCAAAGGATGGGTCCTTCTGAGTGAGGATCTATTTGGGGGTGAAGTCCCACACATCACTGCTGCCTCACCCCACGTGTGGGGAGTTTGTCACTGTGCGGGGCTTTCTGGCCTGTCTCCCCTTGGATGGCAGAATGGTGAAGCTGTCCCACGGTCCCTGAGCCCTCTTATTCACGCTCTGACCTGGCACTGCAGAGTGAGCAACAAGCCGGCTTTAAAACAGGGACTTTGTCCTGGATCTTGTGGCCGCACTAGACGCAATCCCATGAGCCCATAAGAGTGGAGAAGGTTCTCTGGCTGCTGGCGCCAGAGAGAGACAGTGGAGGAAGTGGAGGCAGAGGTGGGATGAGGCAGAAGGGGCCTCAGAGAGAAGAACTCAACCTGCCACCTCTGGCTCTGAAGGGGCCGCAAGCCAAGAAATGCAGGAGGTTTCTAGAATCCAAGAGCATCCTCTCCACGCCCCCTGGCGACGGG